CAAAACGGAACGATTCTTTGCCCCCCCCCCCCCCCTCGGAGCTCGGCGGCGAGACACACTCGACGTTGGAGGCGTAGTAGGTTGTAGTGGTATGAGAAAATCACAAGCACTTGATATCTGAAAAATATAGATCTAGTAGCCCATCATTCTATCATCAGCTACACTGTGTTACAAGCTTTTATATATTATATCTTTGGTCCTAAAACTTCACAATATATGGAGAGTAAGCCATGAGTGAACTCACGAAGTGAGAGTATGCTAACGATCATTGGACCTAGTCGATGTATAGTTCTAGACTCATTCGTTCTTATAGCATTCAAGTACGCTGGCTTCTCAAAAGCATGCACTATTGTGATTGCTTAATCTTTGCTGTTAGACTATAGTTAGAACTTTAGTTTAATGAGTGTTATATTGCCGTAGTCGTTGTTTGCATGGAGATGCACCTCCGTCGAGGAGTTTTCGCCAGTGCATTGTCATGCTGACATGGTTTTCTTGTCTATTTTTTCATGTATAACTCCCTGGACAATAGAACATGCGCGGCTACCGGAACATCCTGTACCCATGTCAGAGTGAATATTGCGCTTCAGTATTGGTGATGAGTCGCTTTCTCTTCACAACCATATGCAGGCTGCTCGTGAGAAGCTCTGTTGCGAATTGATTCTTGAGAATTGATTCTTTTGACAACTAGGCACCACAGACTTAAACGCCCCTATAGCATGTATCTAATCTTTAACTCTTCTTACAAGCCCCAGAAACAATATTGTTGACGTGAGGGTTGTACAACTTGAACTGCTTGCCCATGTTGTTCACCGTAGGTGCGTCCATCAGACTCTTCATCTGGGACATTTGATTGACATTGTCTGGAGACCGCCCAGTGCCAGCCACATCGAGGACCATCATAGCGATGGCGACTGGCGCAGAGTCGGGGTTCTCAATGACATCCTTGAGTGTCAGAGCAGTACTGCCGCCTGCTTCGATGGCATGGACGAGACGAGCTGCCATGAGGCCGGCGCGGCCTGCCTGGCCTACAATGACGCCTACCAAGGGCAGGACCATAAGGATGGACTCAATGATGAGCATGATGAGATCCTTCTTCTTGGCGTCGTTGACCTTCTTCGCAATATCCTTGATCTCTTTCATGCTCCCGATGGCATCGCCAACCATAAAGACGGGGACGGCCAGAACATCGAAAAGCTCTGTGGGTGAACCGTGCCAGATGTCTGCGCCAATGTCTAGCGAGCTGGAAGATAGAGCCTCGTGCAGTGAGTTGACGCCTTCGAAAGCCTTTCCGACAAGGTCCTTGGGGTTTGGAACGACCAGGTTTTCCCTGGGAACAGGATAGCCGTACTCGGCCCTGAAGCCGCGATTGCAAAACTGGTCACCGGGGCTGAGACACGGCGGGGTTGTCGAAACTGTGTCAAATGTAACCCACTCAGGGTCGACACCTGCTTCTTCCAGGGTAGCGTTGAAACCGGCGGCATCGATCAGGTCGAACCAGAAAGAGCGGAACAGCTGCGGGCCCCAGAAGCGGTCGTCGCCGGTGCACGATATCTCACGAGCTCGATGCTTCTGGTTTTCGTTGACGCCGTCGTCGAATCGCCAGCACTTGAAGAATTTGGTAGCCACGCCGTCCTTCTCAGTCATGATCTTGGAGATGGCAGGCTCAACAGCTTCGCGAATGTATTCCTCGTACGTGGGCCAGGCATCGTCATAGCCTGACTTGACACCTTCGTACTCGGTCTCCCAGCCCTCCAACATGTTTGCAAGGACATTAAGTCCGTGGTAAGAAGCGCAATCCGGCTCCATGTTGCTGGCTTGGCCGGCGAGTGCTTCCAGGCTTGCGTAGTCTGTTTGGTAGTAACAAGGCCTGTAGCTCAGTGCACAGCCGCCGGCGCAGAAACTGTCCTCCGATTTGCACAACAACTGTGGACAAACGCCCCAGCCGCAAGTGTAGCGGCACAAGAGGCGGATTCCAATGAGACTCCAGCCAAAATCAGGTTTGTCACCAGTAAAAGTGTCAGGCTTCGGAAGAACGAGTGCTCCCGTTTTGTCGCAGATGCAGGCGTCAATGGGGCAATAACCATGCTTGCAGCCAAAGGAGCAGATCTGCTCGAGAGCCCGAAGAGCATGCTCGCTGCTGACAGCGGCCGGATTCGCCCTTCCGCTTGTGCACGAGCTGGGTGTGAAAGGCGAGACGCTTGAAACAATGGGAGTCAACTTGACCCTGCCGCAGTACTTCGGAGGACAGTACTCGTAACTACAGGCCACAGCACATAGGCCATCGTAGTTGGTGTCTCGATTTGCAGCAGGATAGCCCGGTGGGCCGCGAACGATATTGCCCCCCTGTAGTGGACCATACTTGAGACACATGCAGGCTTCAACAGGACAATAGTTGTACTTGCAAGTGTACTTGCAGAGATCCGCAAACTCTCCAATGCCAGTGCCTTCAATGCAAGTTGCGTCTTTGATGTTGATAGGGGGACTGCGAGCAGCAATCGAGGCGCCCCAGCCAAGAGAAATCACAGGGTTGAAGTTGTAGTATCCTTGTTGACACTCGCCTATGGGCTTGGCACCTGTTGCGCTGGCGACGAGGCCGCCATTTCTTCGAATGTCGACACGAACAGCACCCAAAGCGGAGGTGTGTACGAAGCCAGTGTAGATACCTACACCGCCATGAGGTTCGAATCGCCATGATGGTTTGAAGGTCTGGCCGCCAATCGTCACCTCGGCCGTGGCATTCGAACCTAGCTGGGCTGCAAAGAAAACACCGTCTTTGAGACCCTCTGTCCATTTACCCTCAGGCTGCATGTGTGTTGCCGTGTACGCCGTCGTGCCCCCGTCATTACAACCAGAGGCGACGGACTGCTGTCGATACCACATCATCACACCCTCCTGCGTGATAGTTCCTGTACCGGTTTTGTAAAGGCTGATCGCGTATGGCAGGAATGCCCGCCAAGCGCCGTGCTCAATGCCCTTGACGTAGTTGAACGGGGCTTTCCCGTCATCAAGGGCCACCAGCGACGCATCTCCGCGAATAGGTCCAATGTAATGGGACTCGCCGTAGTCGTTCCAAGAGATGATTTGAATCCATTCTGGTTGGACGTGTAGCGCCTGTGCCCAGCGGTCGAACCAAAGCGTCTCACCACGCCATAGCCAGTTCTTGTCGTACTTGGGTAAATTGGTGTAGAACCAAGGCGAAACAGGCATCATGTACGGCTTGTTGCCCAATGCCCTTCGATACGATGCGTCGATGTATGTGTCCTTGGACCAATTGGGGTGGTTCGGCCACGCCGCCCAGTTGAAGAGACCATCCGCAACGCCGTTGGCTAGCTTGCTGGCGGGTTCGGCGCCTTTGGACGACCAGTCTGGTACGAAAAAACAAGGAACCTGCGCCTTGATGCTAATCCAGTCGCTGGCTTGGTCGGGACCCTCAAAGGTAGATACCAGAGGAAGGCCATTATGCATAAAGTGTGCACTGTCGCCAGCGTATTGACGGAGAAGATCGAGGACTTCCCCTGCCGGCCACGGTCCACGGCCTGCATAGTCGAAAGAGAAGAGGAGCTTGAAGTTCTTGACCCTCGCTGCAGCAAATGCGTTCTTGATTTGATCGGCGTTCATTTTCTCGCCGCGAGCAATGTTGAGTGCGAAGGCATCGATGCGTGACGCCTTGGCGAGTTCCATTTCTGTCTCCCATAGAGCCTGGTTATACGACGCTGTGTTGCCAACCTATGGCGGAGTGTTTAGCTGTAGCTCACTCATGAATAGATGGGAAATATTCATCACTGACCATGAAGTGCGCGAACACAGCCTTAGCATCGCCATGACATGCCAGCAGCGTGATGCTGTACAATATGAATGTGATGATCCGCATCATGAATGTGAGAGATCAATGTTGAAAGCAAAGAATGTAGTGGAAGAATGAGCTGTGTCCCAGGCATGGGGGCTTGCACGTCCTGCTTCACTTTATAAGAGTTTGATGTCCATTAGTGGGATCATTCACTTGCGATCGGCAATGTCATCCTTGACTCCCACCATGCATGCGTTGACGAATACGAGCGACTTTGGGGATCTTGAGGTCGCTTGCAGTAACATGCAAGAAATCTCCTTCTCGACTCAATCAGACACGGAGCTGAACCAGGGCTCGCCGAGAAAGCCAAATTAGGATTTGAAAGCCGAAGCGATTACTCCCACCCATCATGAGGTCGTCAGGCTTTCCTGACGTCTAAAGCGTTCTCCGTGTTATCAGTTCCCGCGGCAAATGCAGAATAGATGTCGAGCCTTGAGGCTGGATCATTCTGGACTTTTGACGATTTGGACCCTGCAGCTAGCCAAGCCTCATACTCAATTAAAATATGCAGCCACACGAAGAATGTCGCTTGAACCCACCAGCGCGATTGGGCCGGTTAAAAAGGGGTCCTGGACCCTTAAGGGTCCTTCTCCGCCGCAACTCAGGAACTTTTGTAACTCAGGAACTTTTGGAAATGAGATATCTTTGCGCTTGCATCAACAGTAGTACCGAGGCTCCAATGGTTCCAATCGAAGAAACCAGGCAAGGAAGTTTTGTTGGGCGGGAAAATAGAAACCGAGGATACTCACATGAGCATTGGGACCGAACTTTCCGCTTCAGGTAACTATCATCCGAAGCGAAGCCGTCGGAGACGGTTCTAGAGTAGAGCGTTCCTGCGCGGAAGGCACAACACCGCAAGTAGATTCAGCACCCGAGCCCGGGATAATTTCCATCACATCTCTGAGAACGAGAACGCCGTCAGCTCGTTATTGGACCATAATTTCGCTCGATTTCTTTTAAAGAGTCAACATGGCCCACTTCGAGTGAAGCGATGGGCAGCTGGGTTGCTGCTCGCTTTCTTTGTGCCTCATCAGATCTCATCCTGACTCGCTTGGTGGACCTACTGAACCCTCACCTTTACGCCGATCATCGGTACTGGTGTTGAATGAGGTGACAAGCTCCGACTACGCAGCTGAGACAATAAGCAGTCACTATGCTGGCCTACGATACTCTCATTCTCGGCTTGGGCCTCTTTGCCGGACTTGCTGGAGCTGTGGGCGAGTCAAAAGGCGGCGAACTATACTTCATGTACAAGGCGTACCGCAGTAAGTTGACCAATATAATCTTGCCTAAGTTCTCCTTTTCCCATCCCCGCACTTTACACACAAATGCTCCTGGCCTACCAACCCATTGTGTACGGTCAACCCTTCTAATGGAAGCAACGATTTGGAACGACGCAAGATGCATGATCGACTAACAAAGCCGTGTAGTGGACGTCGAAGTGAGCTGGGCTACCAGGCCCGCGGGGTCAGCTGACCCCAAGCCATGGTCCCTAGGTCACAAGTGCGACTCGTGGCCCGAAGACTTCGCAAGCGATGCTGACTACCAGCAATCGGTTACTCAGGGAAGACAGGGATGTAACCTTCTTGGGTTCATGAGACAGTTTTCCACGCGCAGCCTCACCGGAGAATCTCTCAAAGCAGCTCGTCTGAAAGTCCCTGATCCTTGGAACCCAACCCTGGACCAGCTATTTGACGTTGGCGAATGGGGAAGATCGAAAAATGATGATAAGTTCATCTACTCAAAGCTGAACTTGGTAGATGTCATGGGCAAGGCCAAGCCTGCGGAGTTCTGGTACCCAGACCCCAATAGCGAAACACCAAAGTTGATACAAGGCGACCGATACAGCTTCGAAAATTCGCTGGCATCGACAGGGTTCATTGCTCAACACCAGATGACCCGCCAATCTACCATTGCAGCGCCTTACATCACGGATATGATTGAGGGCTTGAAGTGGGCCAATCATGGGCGCCGCAAGGAGGAAGCTGATCGGTAAGTTGCCTTGACCCCAGATCACCACAGACGTATTGCGCGAATGTAATAATAGTCGTCGAGAGCTCTCATAAATACTAACAGCCACTTAAGAATGGTTCAAGACTACATAAAGGCAGTCAAGAAAATCGACCCTCAAGCTAGCGACAAGTGGGTGATAACCAAGCCAACCAAAGCGGTCAGACCGCCAGCCAAAATCGGCAGCTGGGGGGAGCTCGATACCAAGGAGAGCTACAAGGCAATGAAAATCTCGAAAGATGGACGGGCTGCTGTTAAGGAGCTCAACAAGACCTACGTGAAGGACTACAGAAATGATGGTTCAGAGGAATCTCACGCAAGGGTCATCGCGTACACAAAGAATGTCCGGGATCAGCTCATCGCAGCGACGCGGCCGCCTTGCACTGGTAGTTGCGGCATTTGTCACCCAAGCAATGCTCTCTAACTCCTAAACTACGGTGGTCTTAGTTGCCAGGAGAGCCTCGCAATGAAACCGCCCAGTTCATTGTATCGATATAAAAAAAACATGGTGTTGTAGCGTAGAACGACCTATGGCGAATGGAGGATGTGTGTGAGTCCTGGGATTTGACTAACTTCGTGGACAAGAAGCATAGACATCTCCTTTGACCTGTCATGTATAAAAGCTCTAGGGAAATCACATACGTTACGACTTCAACACTCAGCGGCATCGACTGTGACTGATTATTCTGTATCAGGTATCTCAAAGATGAGGGAGTTTGACATCAATGTTTCCGGCCAAATCTCGAGCATTCATGCTCATAATTTGACTCAACTGAATGTGCATCATGCGGGGCGCTGAGGTCGCAAGACAGGAGTAGAGTTAGTGTGCGTGTCACTACAGTTTAGAGAAACCCATCCTTCATTAAGAATTGCATGTGAGGTACATAGGCAGCAACATGATTCAACCCGAAGTTCCTGATGCCATCTTGGCAAGTAGAGATCATTTCCAGTTGTCCAGCCGCTCAATGGCAGAAGCCTCATACATTGTCATATTTTGTTTGCCGTATTTCGTGGACAGAGACAGGGGTTAAATCAAACAGCTCGATGCGGCTATTGATATTACCGTGAGGTACTTCGGCCTGTGCGTATGATATACTAACCTGTCACCGGCTCCACAAGAAATGGCCAAGACATACTGACATTGACGTATTCACATGTTCTCCAGACTGTTGTTGCCGGTTTGAGGCGCTGTCTGTTTTTGAATTGAGGAGCCAACGGATGATCATGAGACTGATCAGCGCCGCTGTCTGACAGACGGCGCTAACGTGATTGGGCTATCAGTGGCATGGAAGGTCGAAGAACGTACTCGCATCTTCGACCAAGACCCATGGTCTTCTTCAACTCCGCCAAAGGTCACGAAGGGACAATATTGTGCCCGGCGCTTCGGCTTCGGGCATGGCAGACCACCCACGCGACCGTCCTGACACCCGATGCACGCCAAAGTCAAGTCAGTAGGCGGGACGGGAGGACTTGAAGGCTCGCATTTCCCCCGCCTTGGCAATCGCCCAATGGGAGGGCCGGCTCATCTCTAGGCCGCGTGGCGATATCTTGCCTTGCCGTCTCCTGCCAGCCTGTTCGACAGCATTCTGGCCACTTCCAACAGTGTGAGTGCCTGTGGCAATGACTGGCGCGATCGAGATACGCAAGTGTGTTTTGGCCTCACCTGACCTACGCGTTCACTCCTCTCTTGTGTGCTAGGCCACGCATCTTGCCTGCCTGATTCTTTCTGCCTAATTGGTGTGCTGGATGGATGCCTCTCTTGTGTGATGCCGCCACTGGCAATTTGGGGCATATATATCCATCCGTCAATATGTTTGATTCAGTGGTTCCTGGTCTCTGCAGCTTCTCTGCTCCTCAACTTCACCATATCGTCCTTCGCAGCCCCAAGAGTCTCAATCGTCTTTTTTGAATCACTGCAGCAACCATGTCCTGGAACAACAACGGCCACCCGTTCTACTCTTATCCCGGGAATTGGGACAACCACCAGTTCTTCAACGCCATGCCCGGCTTTGGCATCGACCACGCCGATCAGCCCAACTCCAATGACCAGGGACCTCACCCGTGGGCCCAGAATATTCAGAGCATGCTGAACGCCTTCCCCTTCGGACCCGGACCCGGCGGTCCTCGTCGCGGCTTCGGCCATGGCGGGCACGGCGGTCGAGGCGGCTGGCGCGGACGCCGCGGACGCCACGATCACCACCGTGGTGGGCCACCGCCTCCACCTCCGCCCCACGATGGCCCGCCCGCAGACGACCCCGTCGCCGACCCCGACACCTCCGTCCCAGAACCCGACCACCACCCGCGCGGTCCGCCTGTCCCGGCCCACCACGGCCGCCGCAGCCACCACCACAGCCCGCCCCCTCCTCCTCCTCCTGCCGGCGACCACGGCCCCATGCCGCACCACCAGCACACCCGCGGCCCCCCTCCCCCCTACGCCAACCACCCCTTCGCCCAGTTCCTCTCCTCCATCCTGCCCGACGTGACCGCCAACGCCGACACGGCAGCGCGCCAGCAGGCAGGCGGAGAAGAGGACGAAGCCCCCTTCGCCCCGCCCCTCGACCTCTTCTCCACCGCGCAGGCCTACACCCTCCACGTCGCCCTACCCGGCGCCAAGAAGCAGGACATTGGCGTCGACTGGGACGCCGACCGCTCGACCCTCCGCATCGCCGGCGTCCTCCACCGGCCGGCCGATTCGCAGCTCCTCGAGGCTCTGCTGCCCTCGCACGCCGAGCGCCGGGTCGGCTTTTTCGAGAGGGTCGTCTCGCTGCCGCCTGCGGGTCACGAGCAGCCGAGGCGCGAGCACAGGGTCTATGTCGACGGCGAGGCCGAGGCCGAGGAGAGCGAGACTGAAGAGGGACGGGAGGAGATTGATGGTGCTGGGATCACGGCCAAGATGGAGGATGGCATTTTGATTGTCACTGTGCCCAAGGTCGAGAGAGGATGGACTGAGGTCCGGAAGGTAGACATTGAGTGAGGCTTCGATGTCGCGCTTGGATCTGAATGAAAGGCCTGGTGTCATGCGCTTTGGAGTTTTGGCGTTCGATTAGCTAGTCAATAATAATCATCTGAAAACCGTCCTTCTCTGCGTACGCCCTCAAATCGTGCATGCTAATGAATAAAAGTCAAGTCGTGTAAACCGGGCTCATCATTGAGACAACTTGACAAATACACGGCAAAAGCAAAAAACACCCGTAATCACCAGTGCCCAGCGTAAAAGAACCCCCTGAATGCACCAATCCACTTCCAGATAATGCACCCATTACCGCATCTGCGCAGGTATCAGCAAGAATGGATCGCTCTTCGCCGCCGTCTCTCTTCAAGCACGCAGCTGCGCCTCGTCTTGCTCGCGCTCGTCAGCCAGTCCATCGTTATCACGTAGACCGCCCTGGGTTCCACTGGCCGACTCCGTCACTTCGTCATAAGTCGAAGTACCCTTTCCCTTGAGACCGACACCGCTCCCCTGCAGCGGGCTGTCGGATGACACAAGAGAGTCAGAGCCGGCAGTACCTTGTCGGAGAAGCGGCTCGTTCTGGGGTGGTGCGACACCGAACTCGTCTGGCTGAGGCTGCCAGTCACGCAGGTCATCCTCGGCGTCGTTGAGGATCTGGCGAGCCTGCTGAGAGTGCGGGTACGGGGCGACAGCGTCGCCAGGAGCCACGGGAGCGTCATCGAGGAGGTGCAGGAGACGGCGGCCGTGCTTGGCCAAGAGAATCTGCTTCTCAGCACGTTCGATAGTGGCGGCAAACTCAGCCTCGTAGGCCTCCTTGAGCTTCTGGCGGGTCTGCAAAATTACTGTTAGCTTGAATGATACCCGCGAGGAAATGGTAGACTGTTGAGCGCACAATGTTGGTCAGCTGCGCCTCGGCGACGAGGTTCTCGGCCTCGGCCCTGACGAGTTGCTGCTCCAGCACGACGAGCTTGGCGCTCTCCGGCTCCTTCATCTTAAGCTTCTGGATGTCGTCGGCGATCTTGCTCTTGCCATCACGGCTCGGCTGGACGCTCTTCTCCGTGTTGCGAATGGCCTTGAGGTAGGCGCGTGAATCGTCGAGTGCATGAGCGTACGACTCCTCGAGCTCGCCCATCTCGCTGAGCACCACGCCCACCTTGTCGGAGATATCGCTGATGGACTCGTCGCCGGTGTGCTCGCCCCACTCAGACAGCTGGGTGGCAATGGACACGCGCTCACGGCCCGCAGCCTCGTGGGCAGAGATCAGGTTGTTCTCTGACTTGATCAGGCGGTACAGCTTGCGGGATAGCTCGGGCTGAACATTGCCGCGGAGAGAGTTGAAGGAGAAACCGCCACCGCCATTGCCTCGCCGGCCGCCATTCTGGGACGAGGTCCCACGGCTCTTGTTAGAGCGGATGGATAGGGCGCGGTTCCTATAGGGGATCAGTTGGGCGACTCCGGGAGAGTTGGTGAAACCTGGAATGGAGAAGGGAGAGTATTGCTGGATGAGTGCAGAGAGTCGGCCCTCCTCAGCACTATTGCGCGTAGGGGGCAAGGCGACAGGTCGCGACGACATGATGATGAATCGTTCAAGGGCTTGCTTTCCGCTTGGTACTTACATGTTGAGGTGAAGTGAGAGCCCGATGAGGGAAGATCTCTACGGTATAACTGGCGCTATCCAGTCGACTGACTGTTGCTGTCGCAAGAGAAGAGGAGGAGGGACAGTGACCTGACTTCAACGCTTATAGTGCTAAAGACAAAGTCAAGAGCTACTAGTTGGGTTTGTTAGGTAGCAGGCGTTCGTTGCAGGTGCGTCTGAATGTCACGATATTGTAGAAGAGGCAGGTAGATTCTGAGTTCAGTGCAGGATAATGTGCGATACAGAAGGTAAATTAAGGCAAGGGGAGTGAAGATCTAGGAGGCTTGAGAAGCTCTTGGGCGGGAGCCGTCGACGACGCGGGGCTTTATGGGATGATCTACGGCAAGGAATGACAGCAGCGGGTAGCTGTCGTAGCTTTGCACCCAAGTGACACCTTCTCCGCAGTGAGACACCAGTGGTCATAATGTGGCAGCCACGACCGCATTCCGGCGGCTTGGAATGAACCTATCGCCCCCGTTCTTGCCTTAGTCGAGCCTGGGCGCGCGCGAGTGAGGGAGGCGGAAAAAAAAGGCGAAAGGAGCGACCCGAGCTCGCCGGGCGAGGTGATGATGGCACTGGGCTGGAGGGGTACCGCAGTGATGTCATTGCCAGAACCCGGGTGGATGAGGTCCCCACCTTTCTCAGCTGAATGCGGTGGGGGGTGGGGAGTCGTGCGTCCTGCCTTGGCCGGCCCGTCTGGAGACATCATGTGCGTGCGTGTACGTCTACGGGGATATCGAGGCAGGCGAGGCAGGACAGCCTGGCCGATCGACACTCAAGGCTACGTAGGCTCATGATGGCTTCGTGTGCTGCTGCGCAACGCATCATCCTGTGGTGCACATTTGATGCCGACTGAGATTGAGCAAGTCATGAACCGTCCATTATCATACCAAACATTCAAAGCCGTGTTCTGCGACAGCACATGACAACCTCCCAAAAGCCCCAGGACGCAAATGCGCCATCGCTATACCTTTAACCAATACGTATCTCATCCCAAGGATAACACTAATCGTCCAATTTGAGCCACAAGATAAAGATGCCGCCGCAACTCCCCGTGTTTCTAAGACCGTGCAACCCTTCTCGTCCCACCTCTACTCTGTTGAAGTGTTCAGGTACTAGCTAGTACCGAGTTCGGCTCGTGCGTTCATAGACAATGTCGCCCTGAGGGTGTGGATCATACGTCCGCCGCGTGACACTGGTGTAGCTCGCGCGCGGCGACCGCGAGTGCGAATGGTGGTGATGATGGTGGTGCCCATGGCTATGGTGGTGGTGGCCGTAGTGTTTCCTCGTTGGGATGACCTCCTCGTGGTAGTAGTGTTGGCGCGTGGATCCAGCTCCGAAGCACATGTTGGTGGTATACTGGTGGCCGTTCTGGTGATGTTTTGATGGTTGTTGGCGGTTCTACCGGATGTGGATGAAGATGATGATGCGATGCAGGTACGAGCAAGATGTCTCGAAACCAAACGGTTGTCTTCGATTGTATCTGGGGGGAACGAGCAGAGGGGCTGGCGTGACGTGGACTACAGAAGAGAAACGGGCTTGCGCAAGTGGGCAGACTGGGCCTTGTTATATTAGACCCTGGTCATCATTTAAGCCATCTGAAAATGCCACCAAGCAAGGTCGTCCATGCGAGATGCTGACAAGAGGCGCCGCATCCTGTTTACGAGCTCCTCACCGCGCTTACTTGATTTTGGCTCAAGTGGGAGTGCGGTGTCATGCAATGCAGGGCGCAGTAAGTTGCGACGTTGGACCTGACCATCCATGTCCTGGTAATTCTGCACTGGGTTTTCAACTTGCGGCCAAGCTTCGAACGAGGCCCGGCCCAGCCTGGTCTTGACACTGTACTCACCCTTGCTGTCAACGTCGTTAGCTAACATCAGGAGCATACGTCTGGAGGGACTACCTTGACACCATTGAATTCACGATCCGACATGAGCAGACCGAGTTCGGCGACAATTGACTGGATCGCTCGTAGAGTCGAATTTTCGATATTTCACGTTGCCAGGGTACTGATCACACTGCATCGCCTCAATTGACCAATCGCGCTCTCATTGCGGCGTAGCTAATCACAGCAAAATGGCCTTTCCAGCCAGTCCAATCATCCTCTCTAAAGCCGTCTTCGCTTTTTAGATGCCGCCTGTTGATGATGTTACATTGTGCACTCGAGGCGAGAAACACGCCCCCCTCTATTCAACAAATCTATGCCACCTTCTTGGTCGAGAAAGCAAAGTCAAGCGTCCCGATGGCCCAGGCCCCCACAAACACGGCGACCATGCTGCCGAAAACGACGAGGGGCTTGCGCAGCGCCGCGGTGATCGAGTAGTTGTACGACACGTAGATCTCACGGTCCCTGAACTCGTCCACCAAGTTACGTGCCTTGAGTGTAACCGAGGTGCGGCCCACGGTGTCGAGGAATGTCTTGAACACGTCAATAGATGCCTCAGTGATGGAAGTTTCGGGCACATCAGTCCAAATCTTGACATCCCTATTCTCTGTCAGCTCTTTGTGTTCCGCAGTACAAGTCGACAGCAGATTGACTTACTCAGCGCCCTCGGGAAGCAGAATGCGCACGTTGATCTGACCATATTCGACGCCCTCGGGCTGCTTAGGACCCTCAAGGAAGGGGACGTTCAGGACGTAACCGCCGCCAGCAACATTTCGCAGGAAGTTCTTGGCATCCGAGTTCCAACCGACGGTGAAGGGGTAGCTCCAGCCGCCGAAGATGGGATACCGGGGCTTAGCCTCCAGGAGAGCTTCACGCTTACTGCTGCGGAACTTGGAGGTCGAGACGTTGCCAATGACGTCGGTGTAGTAGGGTTGCTCGCTGCCGGCCTTCAGCGGGAACCTCAGCTCCTTAAGGGCGAAGGATGTCGGGTTGAAGTACTGAGATTGCGCCCACTTGACGCGGCTGAAGGGGTTCGACAGGTTGGCACCGCGGTGGAACAGAGTGTAGCGCTCCTCGAAAGCGACGTTACCGCCCCAGTGGCTGACCTCGATATCGCGGTCCAGGTTGGAGACGTGGCTCACAGGCTTGGTAAACTCGAAGCGCACCGAGGCGGGCGACACCGCACCAGCGGGCTTGGCGTCGAATGGGCCATATGTGAGCTTGGCGCCGTCCTTCTTGGGAAATTCAGCGACATCGCCAGTGCCGGGCAGCTTGGTGTAATCGGGAATGTTGGCCGAGTGGCTCTTCAGTTCGGTCTTCTGCTTGGTGGTGGGGTATGCCGAAGAGCAGTAGATGGAGAAATCATAGACCAAGTACTGCTGTTCCTCCTGGCTGATCGCAGCGGGAAGAGGAGTGTAGGACTTGAGCGAGTAGTAGGAGATGCCGAGGGTCTGTTGGCCGCCTGCCTTGAGCGGGGCGGGTAGGTTGATGCGGAAGTACTGGAGGTCGCTTTCACGATGTGAGCAAGAGACGGCAGAAGCACCCAGTCAAGACTCAAACTTACCTGCTAGGGTCAACCTCGACAGGCTCGACTGTGAAAGGACCCGCCTCATCATTTTTCCTGTCCTTCACCTCGAAGCCACCCAATCTCGACATCTGATCCGCAGTAAACGGCAGGTAGTACTCGCTCTGGGGTTCCTTATCGACATTTTCGATCAGAACGTTAATCTGCTCCTTGACATAGTTCTTCTCAAGGGAGATGATGTGGACGAGATTGGCGTTCTTGAAGACTGGGGGGGGCTGGAAGGTGGTGGTGTCAACCTTTGAGGTCTTGTCGGAGCTTGCGACAGCAGCGGAGACCAGGCTAAGGAGCCCAGTGGCGATGGCGAAGGCTCTCATTGTCGGACAATGTCGATGAGCAGGCTCATGGACTGAGAGATTCGAGTACACAGTATTTCGTTGAGAGAGCGACGAGGACTTTGTTGCACGGGAGAAGGCCTTACTCCATCGCTTGCTTGGTGCAGTGATCTGGCTCTTGCAACTGGACGGCGACAGCTCTCGATTGGGAGTTGACAACGGGCTACGTTGCTTGACGCACGGGCCATGGCCGTGCAATCGATTCGACATGGCCCGAGCTCTCTCTTCTAATACGCCACAGTGAGAAGCCACAGTGAGAAGCCACCCTGTGGGTTTGTTCACGCCACATCTTTCGCTGAAAGTCGCCCTTTTTTTTCTTGAGCTGTTGGTGAGCTCTGTAAGAGGTGGGGGCTCCTTTGTACGTCACTTTGCCCAAGCTCCCCCCGTTCGCCTGGATACTGCATCTCAGCAGCGGGTACTTGGGGTTTGAGTACAGAGAAGATTGATGGATAGGTGGGCATGAGCATGGTCGCATTGTGGCATGAACGAGAATATTTTTCATATTCATGGAATTGGTTGCCATCATGGCTTTTTTCTGTTGTCGGCTCCTAGTCCATCTCAACACTGTTCTGTGTTGTCCCGTCAGTCAACAAAGTCGGTCTGCAGAGATGGGCACATCCAGCACATTTGGTGGACTTGCTTTTGCAGCTCACTTCCCAACCCTTGTCTTGTACCTGCTGTGCCCATCCGGCCACCCACCTGCCAACTAGGGTCTTGCAATCACCAAGCAGTACCACATGATCAGCTGAGGTTGCTCTGGCCTTAGTCGACTTGGGGTTGGCCTATATTGGCGTTTTGAGTCGAAGCTTCAGGCAAGGGTCTGTCGTCTGTCCAGTGGGAAGGCAAGACGTGGAACTCCGGGGGTCCGTAGAGGCGTCCAGGCGTTGAGGCGCCGCCTCCTCTCCCCACGCATTCCCACCCAAGTCCCGACGTCAGCTCCAAGCTCTTACTAACGAGTCGTCTTCCTCTCTCCTAATCACCTAGACAATCATATTCCCTCAAACTCTATCAATTCCATATCTCCATTGTTGGCCTTGCTTCGTCCATCGAACCGTAATCTCATACCCATCCTCCTAGACTCTTCAGATCTTGTACGACGCTGACGCCCAGTCTTCCAAGAGCTTGTCACCTTCAGACCCCTCATTACCCCTCCATCCCTCCACAACACACCACCACACCTCACCGTCAACATGGTCGGCATCGGTCCCAAGCCGCCCCCAAGCCGCAAGGGTGAGTGCAGATTTTCAATGCTTTCTGTGTATTTTTCTTGTCTGTCGAGAGCCGTCATATCCAAGATGGATTCTCAGTGGACCTCGTGCTGCCTGTTTGGCTGCTCTCTCAATTCGCCTGCCAACCTGACTGGGGCTTTGCGAGCATGGCACCACTCATTCGCGTATCATGCTTTGCACCCAATTGATTGGAATGATGACCTATCACAAGCCCATCATACAGGCTGGGGTTTGCTGGAGATTCAATCTTGATGCCAATCACATTCGTCATACTTCTTTGCAGCCAGAGGCGTGTAGGCTAGCAGAATGGGAGCAAACTTTCCGGCATACCATGTTGCAACACCATCCGGGGCGGGAGTTTTGGCCCAGCGCTTGTCACAATATCGGAATCAGTGGGCCACAAACGTCAGATTTGCCGAAGATACTTCTGAGGTGCGCCCAGACGTCTTATCGAACCGTTATCCGCCTTGCACATTCACCGGCAACATCGTTCCTGCCCCTGTCATGGATGGACCTCCACCGATTCAGCCATCGGAGCCTTTCGCTTGAATTCACCAGAACGTGTCTCTCTCTGCATTTCGAAAAAGCTCCTTAGTCGACCTGAGATATAGAACGGAAGAGAAGACAATTACGAACTATCCCTACAAGGCTTCTTTCAACGTTATACTCACAACCTTCTTTTACCCTGCTGGGACTTTTACCCTTTACAGTACATTCCGTCCTGCACAACGCGGCGTTTCCGACCAAAGAAACACCAGCAGCTCTCATTACAGCTTTCGTGCGCTCAATATGTACAGCATGTATACTGACCAGGATCGCAATCCAGGCTCAATGGCGGAGCTTCCCCAGGACCTGGTCCAGGAGATCCGTCACCTCGAAGAGATCCTCATCGTCAAGGCCTCGAAGCTTAAGGAGATCACCAATCACTTCGTCTCTGAGCTCGAGAAGGGTAAGTTGCATCCATTCGTCTTCCCGCTAAGAACTTCGTCTGACGGAACCAGGTCTTAGCGTCGAGGGCGGAAGCATTGTGAGTGATGAACAGAAACGGTACGAGCATGGAAGGAGAACATGGCTGACTGACTGACTTCCAGCCCATGAACCCGACCTGGGTCATGTCCTTCCCTGATGGCTATGAGACAGGTACTTATCTCGCTCTTGACATGGGCGGCACCAACCTGCGAGTTTGTGAGATCACCTTGACGGATAAGAAGTCCGAGTTCGACATCACGCAGTCCAAGTATCGCATGCCCGAAGAGCTCAAGACTGGTGTTTCTGAGGAGCTCTGGGAGTACATTGCAGACTGCCTCCAGCAGTTCATCGACACTCATCACCCTGAGCTCCCCAAGGACCAGAAGCTGCCTCTTGGTTTCACTTTCTCCTACCCCGCCACTCAGAACTACATCGACGAGGGTATTCTGCAGCGCTGGACCAAGGGTTTCGACATTGATGGCGTTGAGGGCAAGAACGTGGTGCCCCTGCTCGATGCTGCTCTGAAGAGCAAGGTAAGTGATCAAGATGGCATGAAATAGGGAACAAATCTGACGACAAGCAGGGTGTTCCTATCAAGCTTTCGGCCTTGATCAATGACACTACTGGTACTATGATCGCCTCGGCTTACACTGACACCAAGATGAAGATTGGCTGCATCTTCGGCACGGGCTGCAACGCTGCCTACATGGAGGACTGCGGCTCCATCCCAAAGCTCGCGCACATGAACCTGCCTGCCGATGCTCCTATGGCCATCAACTGCGAGTGGGGCGCCTTCGACAACGAGCACAAGGTCCTGCCGCGCACACCTTACGACATCATTATTGACCAGGACTCTCCTCGTCCCGGCCAGCAGGCCTTCGAGAAGATGATTGCTGGTCTCTACCTCGGCGAGATCTTCCGTCTCGTTCTCGTTGATGTTCACGAAAACAAGCCTGTTGATCTGTTCAAGGGCCAGGACATTTCCGCGTTGCGCAAGGCCTACTCGCTTGATTCTTCGTTCCTGTCTGCCATTGAGGAGTTAGTCTCTGCCTCACGAAACACATTTGCAGCTGCTAATACGGATAGGGACCCCTTCGAGAACTTGTCGGAGACCCAGGATCTCTTCGCCGCCAAGCTCAACCTGAGCCTTAACCGCGCTGAGCTTGAGTTCGTCCGCCGCCTTGCTGAGCTAGTCGGTACTCGCGCTGCCCGCCTCTCAGCCTGCGGTGTTGCTGCTATCTGCAAGAAGAAGAACTACGAGACTTGCCACGTTGGTGCCGACGGCTCCGTCTTCAACAAGTACCCTCACTTCAAGGAGCGCGGTGCCCTGGCGCTCCGCGAGATCCTCGACTGGCCCGAGAAGAAGAACCCGACTGACGAGGACCCTATCGAGATTCTGGCCGCCGAGGACGGTAGCGGTGTCGGTGCTGCGCTGATTGCCGCTCTCACACTGAAGCGCGTCCAGCAGGGCAATGTTGCCGGTATCCTGCACCCGGACAACTTCAAATAAGTACGAGAACACTGTAAAGAAAGGCGAAAAAGGACGTCCCGGGATCCATGATGGGGCTGTGCACCGTCCGTGAACAGAGCTAGCTTAGACATCAAGACGGTCTTCTTCTAACGCACATGAAAACTATCCCTTTCTGGTTCTTGAAAGCTACACAAGACGCTAGACACGTCGCCACAGGCATCTAGCACATGAATGTGCATAACGGGAGCCGATACTCTGTGATCTCGTTAGCTTCGTACGAGGCTTGCTTGATGTGACATTTGACTTACTGTCGAGTGTCCAGTATCTCCTCCGCACACCTTCCCACTCACCCTTCCCAGCCTCTTCCAAACCCTTTAGGTTAACATCAATCACCTCCCACTCCAAATCCAGACCTGCATCTGTTGCATGCATCTCGACAACCTGTGTGTACACGTCGTAACAGATCTTCCGATCTGCGCCTAGCCCGTTAAAAAAGCCAAACCTACCCTCCTGCTCCATCAATCCTGGGATGTATTCTGTGAAAAACATCTTCAGCTGCGCATAATCCTCCCCGAACGTGTCGAAGTATATCGCATCATACATCTCGCCAGCCTCCAGAAGCTGAGGCACGATATCCTGCCATCTGCCGCGGTGCACCTTGAAAGCTCCGTCCCCAGGCCCGCTCGCCTCCCACGCGGCGCCAAAGTTTGTGCCGCCGTTGTCGATGTGCGCCAGCACAGCCGGATGCGCCTCGATAATATGGTGCCGTGCTGGCTTGGTATCCGCGAACATGCCATCGATGATGCCCATCCCGAACCCGACGTTGAGCACGCGCTTGCCCTCGGCGAGAGCCGGCTCGGACGCGGAGGCACGGAGCAGAACATCGACGGAGCGGCGCATGATGGAAGTCTCCCACGCCATCATGACGCCGTTGCCCTCGTCGTCGACGAGCTTGACGTCGTCGTACGTAAGGTCCGAGGCGAGGTACGCTTCCGAGTTTACATCGGGCTTGACCTCTGACTCCTCTGTCTTCTTCGCTTCCTCGTCGGCAACGACGTCGTGGCCGTTGGCATCTACGAGCTCAGGGGCCTCATCGCCATCTTCTTCTTCCTCGACGATTTCCATGTCGTCGACCGAACCTGAGGACAGCTCCTCGTACTCGTCCAGCAGGCCGAAGAGGAGCTCGGCGCGGACACCTGCCTCGACGCAAGCGCGGTAGAGAGAAGGGTGGCCGAGGCGGTCAGCGACGCAGCCGGGGGTCTCGTTGTTGCAATCTACATCATTCCAGATGGCACCAGCAAGAAAGAGTTCTTGGAGGGTATCCTTGGCCTCATCGGCGGCGGTCTTGTCGGCATCCGGGGAGGGGTCGGCAGGGCCACAGGCTCGGATGGCGGCATGAAGCGGTGCCTCGCCGGTTTCAGGATCCTGAAGGCTCGCCTTGCCAGGGGCGTCGAGAAGGGCCTTGAGGTCGGAGGTATCGTGGGCCCAGGCGTGATGGAGGATAAGCTTGACGTCTTCGGGGCACGACGCAGATATACGGGCGGGGAGGGAATCGTCGATGATGGCCGGGGCCGTGGACGCCGAGGGCGCGTTAGCTGCCATGCCGATTTTTTCAAATCAAAACAGGATGGCGAGATGACTGGTAGAAGTGGTGTGCGCTGCAGCAACCCAAATGTCGGCTCTCTCAGTATTGTCAGTGTTGGCAAAACTTATGTTGGCGGGGTTGACCAGATTCGTGAAGCTTGGCTCAGAACCCCGCCATAATTTTTTACGACTTGCCAGTGCACAACGATGGGATACACAGCACAATCCTTGCTTCCAGAGGGGGGGTGCCTCGCTACGGGCTCAGCCCAGGCCCCTAAGGTGCCCCGAAGCTGGGTGACCGGCACCTCGCAGCGACCTGCACCTGCACCTCAGCGGATGGCCAGAACAGGGTTGTGTACACGTGCACATGTGTCTCACCTGATTGGCCAATCCACCGGTTGCTGGTTGACGGAAGTGGGGCACGGGCATGTGAGAGCTTCAGACCCAGAGCTTCATCGTCGAATTGGCAGCCTCCATCTGAGGGAGGGAGGTCCTGCTTTAAGCCTGACTTGGATTAACTTCGTTTTCCCAATCTTGCTGCCCTGCGCCTTTCACGCCAGACTGCCATTTCGTCGTCCGAGTCTGCGTCAAGGCCTGGCAACCCCCATTCCGCCTCGACTCAAAACCTAGCCCTTGCGGCTTTTCGTCGCCGTCGCTCTGTCATTGTTCACTTCTTCCTGCCTCCCGAACAGGTACTTTCAGCCAGCATCCCGGCCAGGCTTCGTGCTCGCCTTCGCTCTTGCACCCCCATGCTAATTGTCCAAGACCTCAGGACCCGGCAAAGATACTGGAGGTCAACCCGACTCCGACGCCACGATATCCCCTGGCGCGCACCCCCAGGCATCATCGTCATGAAGTTCGGCGAGCAGCTCCGCTCGAGCATCATTCGAGAGTACCAGTGGTACTACATCGACTACGATGTTCTCAAGAAAGAGCTGAAGAACGCGACCGGTCCCTTTCTGAACGATACCGACAATGGCGAACGCCGCCGCGACTGGACCGAGGAGGACGAGACACGCTTCGTGAAGAAGCTCGAGGTTGAGCTTGACAAGGTCCACACGAAGCAGCAGGTGAAGGCCATGGAAATCTCCAGGCGCATCGCCGTCAGCGAGAAGGAGGTGCGCAGCGTCGTCGCTCGCCTGCTTGAGCGCGGCCCGCAGGAGGCTGGCCCCAGCGAGGAGGAGTTCATGCTGTTGGAGGAGGCCCTCAGTGATGTCATCGCCGACGTCCACGACCTCGCCAAGTTCGTGCAGCTGAACTACACCGGCTTCTACAAGATCATTAAGAAGCACGACGTAAGGACGGGAGACCTTGGGTGGAATGAATCCTGTGTACTGACGAATACAGAAAATGACTGGCTGGCACCTGAAGCCCGCATTCGACACCCGTCTCAAGGCCAAGCCGTTCTACAAGGAGAACTATGACGCTTCCGTCGTCCAGCTGTCCAAGCTCTACGATCTTGTTCGAACTCGCGGCAACCCCGTCAAGGGTGATAGCGCGGCTGGAGGTAGCCAGGGCAGCTTCGTCCGTAATACCACAAAATACTGGGTCCACCCTGACAACGTCACTGAGCTGAAGCTCATCATCCTCAAGCACTTGCCCGTGCTCGTCTTCAACGCCAGCAAGGAGTTCGATACACAGGACTCTGCTATTACCTCCATCTACTACGACAACCCCGACAAGTGGGACCTGTACGAAGGTCGTTTGAAGAAGACGGAGGGTGCCGAGGCTATCCGTCTGCGGTGGTACGGCGGAATGCAAAGCGAGAACATTTTCGTCGAGCGCAAAACTCATCGCGAGGACTGGACCGGCGAGAAGTCAGTCAAGGCTCGTTTCTCTGTCAAGGAGAAGAACGTCAACGCATACATGCGAGGCGAACTCCTCCCCGCGGCTATCTTCGAGAAGGCGAGGAAGGAGGGCAAGAAGCCCACAAAGCAGATTGACGAAGACCAAAGACTGGCGGCCGAAGTTCAGTACTCGTGCCTCAAGAAGGGTTACAAGCCTGTGTGTCGGTCATTCTACAACAGAACTGCCTTCCAGCTTCCTGCCGACGCGCGCGTACGAATTTCTCTCGACACCGAGCTTACCATGGTTCGCGAGGACAATCTGGATGGCGAGCAGCGTTCTGGCGACAACTGGAGGCGGATGGACATCGGTATTGACTGGCCGTTCTCTCAGCTGCCGCCGAAGGACATTGTCCGCTTCCCCTACGCTGTCCTTGAGGTCAAGCTCCAGACGCAAATGGGTCAAGAGCCTCCCGAGTGGGTGCGTCAGCTGATTTCAAGCCACCTGGTGGAGGCGGTGCCCAAGTTCTCCAAGTTCATCCACGGTGTGGCATGCCTGTTTCCCGAAAGGATCGATCTGTTGCCCTTCTGGATGCCTCAGATGGACGTTGACATCAGGAAACCTATAACACATGACTTTGGCATTCACCGTGGAGGTCATTCTGCGAACACGACAACCTCTGACGAAGACGACGAGGAAGACGAATTTGATTCAGATGACGAGGAGCTCCGTGCACCAGCCGCGAGCAACAAGCAGGTCAGCGCAGGGGGCAATGGAGAGTCAAGCAGGGCGGGTGCTGGCAACGGCGCCGGCGTCGACATTGAAGACCAGACGGCTGATGGTGTCGCTGCTGTTGACGCAGACTACATCTACGACTCGGATGAGGAGTACGACCCGAATGAGGCCCTCGAGGAGGCTAGGAGGGTCGGCGGCTGGACCTACTACTCAACGCTGGCGAAGACGAAGGGCGCAGCCTTTGGCCACGAGGCGCTCGAAGTCCTCAAGTGGGTGATCCCCCACCCCCGCGGTTCAGTGATCCCCAGGAGAGAGGTGCAGACTACCCTCTTCGGAAGTGGTGAGATCCAGACGAAGAAATTCAAGGCACCCAAGGGAAAGAAGATCTACGTTCCCGTGCGTGTGGAGCCAAAGGTGTACTTCGCGGCTGAGAGGACGTTCTTGGGTTGGGTAAGTCTGTTCGGCCGAGCTCACAAAGAAAAATGCTTACCATTTCACAGCTTGAGTATTCCATTTACGTGGGCACCGTAGCCGTGACACTGATGAACTTCGGCACAAGCCCTACAAGCGCGTCGTTCATCGTGGCTGGCGTCTTCACCCTGCTTGCTATCCTCTCGCTCTGTTACTCGGTCGCTATCTACCTGTACCGCAGTAGCGCCATTCGCAACAGACGCAACATTAAGTTCTACGATCGCTGGGGGCCAAGCGTCCTCTGCGGAGCTCTTTTCGTGGCCGTGTGCCTGAACTTTGCATTCGAGGGTCGGGAGCGTGAGGTTTGGTGAGCAACTAGGTGTGTAATAACGACTTGTGTATGGTGTTGAGTGATTGGTGACGCGAGGCCACCACGTCTGTGGAGAGAGGGTGTATTTAGGTCCGAGGATTGTATTTTGCGCTTTTTCTTCTTTTGGATCCAATTAAAGATACAGCAGCGCATTGTTTATAGTAAGGGAGTGAGAGTATAGATCCTTTCCAGCGTTCGTCCTGTGTCAGTCCGCCCTAGTCTCGATCGCGGCTTCTCAATGCCGAGCTCAGTGAGGCGACGGCGCCTACCTCAGAAAGTTGGGGTTCGCTCGGCTAGACGAAGCTTCCTGCTAGCTCCGAGGTCAGCTGCTGTCAGCCCTAGACAACTCCGACATATCGTTCAGCAATCAACTTGCATTAGACAAAACTGAGAGCCAGCCAAGAATCACACCACTGCGTGAATTGGCTATTCCTTGGGGTCCCAGCTGCAGATGCATAAGTACGGGCTAAACCCCGATGTCTCAGCCGCCGGAGGAGCCGCACTCGAACTGCCCACACTGCTCGTGCTTGCTTTCCCTGCCTCTGAGGTCTGATGATCAGCAAGAATCAGCATACAGCCAGTAGCTGAGAAGACGACTCGGTATTCTCCATTGCGCGGATAGCTCTTGAGCCGTCAGGATGACTGCCCTCGTTGCGGAGGGTGTGTTTGGCCGATGCGTGCCCCCGGAGTCAAAGTACGCCATTACAACGAACTTGCGGGGATGGGACAATGCGGTCAAGTTGCGGGAGGGAGACAAGGGCGTCATGTCACAGATTGTGCACATTTATCCACGCTTCGGTCCATTCCAGGATGTCAAGCTCGTAAGTGGATCACAGCCTCCCATCATACAAGGCGTATACTGACTATGGGTGCTGCTAGTTGTTCGGGGCTCTCGCTGGGAAGCTACACCTTGCCGAGGGTCTGTCGCTGTTGGCTTTCACTGACCCTGGTGTCTTTCAAATGATTGCCAAGCATGTGACCAGTCCTCACCGTCGTGAGCCCATCGTCTCGCTGGAAGAACTGCAGCTTCATGTTGTCGACGTGGCTGGCATCCGGCTGTATGTCGTTGCATTTCCTGCGGCAAAGACATCTGGTGTCATAGGTGCCTGGATGAATCCTGGCATAGGACTGTCCATCCGCTTGTCGGAATATCTTCTCTCACAAATCGACACATTCACACTGGTCAAGTCGGTGTCCACTACTGAAGCTCCTCCGCAAGGAACGTTCCTCCCCGAAACAGCAGATCACGCGAAATTGAGGGAGCGGATCTCTGGGCTCCTTCACAGGGCTTCCGTCGACCCTGAGAAGATCAGGGTCACTCTCGACGATATTTACCTCTACCCAACAGGAATGGCCGCCATCTACACAACGCACAGTCAGTTAGTCGCACACCGCCCCGGCACCGTCGTCATTCTTGGCATTACCTTTCCCAGCACGATTCAGTTGCTTTTGGAGACCTCGCCACACGGCTACAAGCACTTCGGTCCTGTAGACTCCGCTGGCCTCGACGTGTTCGAATCTTGGCTGGAGGAGGAGGCTGCTCAGGGCCGGGACGTGACGTACGTCCTCGTCGAGTTTCCCTCCAACCCCCTCCTCGCCAGCGTCGACCTGCGCCGCATCCAGGTCTTGTCGCGGAAGTTCGGTTTCTTCTTCGTGATTGACGAGACAGTCGGATCCTTTGCCAATATCGATGTTCTTCCTTACTGCGATTTGATCGTCACAAGCCTTGCAAAGACCTTTTCCGGCTACGCGAACGTCATGGGGGGCTCGGCGGCACTGAACCCCCTGGCACCGCGGCACGCCGAGCTGAGGAAGCTCTGGGACACGCACTCCCACAACGAAGTCTTCCGTGATGACGCCGCGGTGCTGCTCGCCAACTCGGATTCCTATCTTGAGCGGACGGCCGTGCATAATACCAATGCGGGAATCATGGCCGCGTATCTCGCGGCACAGACGCGGGATCTCGACCCGTCCTCGCCGATTCTTCGCGTGCGGTATCCGACGCAGATGGCCGACTACAATATATTTGCGTCATTCTTGCGCCGGCCGACGGAGGAGCTGCCTGAGCCGGGAGGCGGATGTCTTCTCACAGTGGACTTTACGAACACTGTGGCCGCCAAGGCTTTCTATGAGGCGCTGCAGTTCTATCACGGCCCACATCTTGGAGCGCCGAAGACGCTGGCGCTGTGCTATGTGGAGCTCGTGTTTAACAGGAATCCGGAGGATGCAGAGTATCATCGAGGATATGGTCTGCTGCGGGAGAGTGTCAGGATCTCGGCGGGCTTGGAGGCGGCGGGGGATCTGGTGAAGACACTCGAGGCGGCGTTGGACGCTGCGAGGAAGGCCGTGAGTAGCTGATGTTGCTTGAAGGCAATATGCACATCCTTTCTTGAGTCCATGATTTTGGGTATTTGTTTAACACAGAACACGTTTAAAATACCAGCACGACTTTTTAGGCAATCCTGCCAGAACTGCGGCTCACTGTCAAGCTCAGATACTGAGCTTGTCATTGCCATGCTGAAAAGTCCCAGGGAAGAACCCCAGGAAAATTGTGTTAGGCTCGAATTCGGAGATTTTGTGAAGAGTAATGTCCAACTTCGATATCTAGAATTCGTGAGTCAATCACATGACCATCAAAACTCAGGAGGTGAGTTGGCCGCATCAACCAGGTTCCCCCTCAACCAAGCGACGCCATCCCAGATTCCAAGCTTGTATGAGACAGATGGAGATGAATGCTGCCTTTCCCATTATGCAGATCATTGGCCATCGGATCTGGTACCCGAGGATCGTGAAGTGATCGCAAAGCAACATCAGTCAGTCTGAGCTCCTTCGCCAGTCAGCCTCGGAATTGGATCCCCACTGGAAAGGCCCCCTGAGTAGGCTCGCCCTAGTGGAGCCAAGGGATTCAACGGTCCCGCTGTCGGAAGCGTTTGCTAGTGGCCGAAACGGACAACAAGGCCAGGTCGGGGCCAATCAAGCTCACCAAGCTCACCTGGCACCTGGCGTGCCTCGTCCACGTCGTCCCCAAGGCTGGGCCTCGAGAGCTAATAACGTTAAAGTACCAAGTACCCAGACCCTGGCCGACGAGCTCCACCACCTGGCCCCCAGCGGCCCCCCCAATGGTCCCAGCGCTGTAACACGTTGATCTTTAATCTTGCCCAGGTCTCCGATCGGATTCACCCATCCAATTCCTGCTACCTGGTCCAAACGGCCATCTTTCCTCCGTCTCCTTGAAGCGCAATCTGATCACTCTCAAGTCAGACATGTCACGGGCTTCAAACTCAACCAGCTGATCTACCTACCTATCGAAACTTGTCGAGACGAGCCAACCATCCCCCGAGCTTCCCGACTCGGTAGCCCTCGACAGCGATAACGCATAGCGCATTTACCATTGGAGTCCCCCTTAACCTGGTCATCCTCCATGAGGTCTGCTGGTCACAACAGGTAGCCCCTTCCCGAGTCCCGGACCACGACGCGATGCAGTGGCCATGGCGAGGCGACGGCGATGACCAGGGCAGCCTCAAGAAGAACGACTCGCTGCTGCCCACGTCCAACTACACGCCCAAGATCACCGGGGCGTCCCACGATGGCGGCTTCGAGAAGGAAGCCCCGGCGCGACCAGCCTACAACCGCACCACGTCTGCGCAGTCAAGAGTGAGAGCCGCACGCCCGCACTGCCGAGCCGTGAACGTAGCTAACAGCGAGATCGATCATAGAGCGTTGCCGAACAGTACTCGTTCATGACCCCGGCCGAAACTGCCTCTCGACTGCAGACCTCCCTCACACATGGCCTGGCGCCGGCGTCCGCCTCAGGTCGCCTCCACGACTACGGGCCGAACGAGATTCCTCACGATGCGCCCGAACCATTATGGCTGCGCTTCGTCAAGCAGTTTCAGGAGCCGCTGATCGTCCTGCTTCTCGTCTCGGCTGGCGCTTCGATTTTCCTCGGCAACACTGATGACGCCGTCAGCATCACCGTTGCCGTCACCATTGTGGTCACCGTCGGTTTCGTACAGGAGTATCGGTCTGAAAAGTCGATCGAGGCCCTCAGCGGTCTCGTCCCCAACCACGCCCACCTCATCCGCGGCGAGCAAAAGGGGCCTTCGTCCGGCTCCTGGCCCGTTGGTTCCACGAACGCCAAAGTCGAGGGAGCGCCCACCGATACGGCCACGGCGATCGAGGAGGCATTGGAGGTGGCTTCTTCCAAGGTCATGGCTGCGCAGCTCGTCCCCGGCGACCTGGTCCTCTTCACTACGGGTGATCGCATCCCCGCCGATATCCGCGTGACCAAGGCTGCTGATCTGACCATTGACGCTTCCAACCTCACTGGCGAGAACGAGCCGGTAAGGGTCACAGCCAACGCGCGCACACGCCCTACACCGACGACACACCTCGGCGGCAGCAACAAGCTCGAACCGCCGAGCCCCGCTGGGTCGGCCGTCTCGTCGAACAGGGACGGCGGGGATGATGGCGAGCACAATGTCGCGTACATGGGCACTCTCGTCAAATCGGGCTACGGCCAGGGCATCGTGTTCGCGACAGGCGGCAACACACACTTTGGTACCATCGCGACGAGTGTGTCCGGGACGGAAAGCCCCCGTTCGCCTCTGCAGCTGTCGATGGACGACCTGGGCTCGCAGCTCAGCAAGGTGTCCTTTGTCATTATTGGCATGATCTCGTTCGTGGGCTGGCTGCAGGGAAAGAAGTTGCTTGAGATCTTCCAAATCTCCATCTCGCTGGCTGTCGCAGCCATTCCCGAGGGACTGCCCATCATTGTGACCGTCACCCTTGCCCTCGGCGTGCACCGCATGGCGGGACACCACGCCATCGTGCGCAAGATGCCAAAAGTTGAGACTCTGGGTTCGGTGAACGTTGTTTGCACCGATAAGACAGGTATGCCATCCTCCCGTTCCCCGGCCAGGGCTTGGTCGAATGCTGACTTGTATCAGGCACTCTTACTATGAACCACATGACCATCACTAAGATGTGGTGTTTCGGCTCCATCGAGGCTTTTGATGTTGACTCGGATGACGAGGCCACCGAGACAAAGCCCGACGCCGCAACGCTGCGCATTCTTCGCATTGGCAACATTGCAAACAACGGCCGTCTCGCCCGCCAGTACACTGAAAATGGTGCGGCTGCCCGGGCTGTGCTCTCCTCTACGCAAGGCGGCGACAACCCTTCCACGTACACCCGGTGGACCGGCCAGCCTACGGATGTGGCCATGCTGGATCTGCTTGATCGTTTCAAGGAACACGATGTGCGCGAGTCGATTGGTACACGCATCGGCGAGGTTCCCTTCAGCTCGGAGAGAAAGTGGATGGGCGTCACGATTGGAGGCGAAGGAAAGAACGACAAGGACTTTTCGTACATGAAGGGCTCCATCGACCGAGTTCTCGAGGCTTGCGACACGTATCTCACGAGGGACGGACGGGAGGTCGTGCTCGACGCTACGCGCCGAAAGGAGGCACTCGATGCCGCGGAGGACATGGCTTCCCGCGGTCTGCGAGTTCTGGCCTTTGCCAGTGGTGCCGTCAGGTCAAACAAGAACAAGCCGGCCTCCAACGGCTCGTACTTTGCTGGCCCCGACGACAACTACAAGGGACTGACGTTTGCCGGGCTCGTCGGCATGAGCGACCCGCCCAGGCCTGGTGTTGGCAAGTCGATCAGGCGTCTGATGCGCGGTGGTGTCAAGGTCGTCATGATCACCGGTGACGCCGAGACGACGGCCGCTGCCATCGGCAGGCAGCTCGGTATGCCGGTTCCGCACGCAGTCGAACACGGCTCGAGCCAGTCCACCGTGCGCCCCGTCCTCAGGGGAGACGAGATCGAGGCCATGTCGGAGGAGGAGCTTGCGCAGGCCATGCAGCACACCAACATCTTTGCCCGCACAAACCCCGATCACAAGCTGAAGATTATCCGCGCGTTTCAGTCTCGCGGCAATATTGTCGCCATGACAGGCGACGGCGTCAACGATGCGCCGGCGCTGAAGAAGGCCGACATTGGAATTTCCATGGGTCTGCATGGTACGGATGTCGCCAAGGAAGCAGCGGACATGATTCTCACAGATGACGACTTCTCGACGATCCTTCGAGCGATCGAGGAGGGCAAGGGCATCTTCAACAACATCCAAAACTTCCTGACCTTCCAGCTGAGCACGAGTGCCGCCAGTCTGTCGCTCGTCTTCTTCTGCACCCTGCTGGGACACCCGTCGCCTCTGAATGCGATGCAGATTCTTTGGATCAGTGAGTCGGCGTCCTTTTCATTGTCGGGAGAGAAATCACGCTAACCCAGCTAGACATCATCATGGACGGCCCTCCCGCGCAATCACTCGGTGTCGAGAAGGTTGACAAGGACGTCATGAACCGTCCGCCGAGGAAACGGGGCGACGCCGTCCTCACCCGTACTGTGCTCTCCCGCGTCATGACCTCAGCGGCTATCATCATGACGGGCACCATGCTCGTCTACCGCCACGAGATGCTGTCGGATGGCGAGGTCTCGCGCCGCGACACGACCATGACGTTTACGTGCTTTGTCCTCTTCGACATGTTCAACGCCCTGTCGTGCCGCTCCGAGTCCAAGTCGATTCTCCGTGGCGAGATTGGTCTGTTCTCCAACGTGCTCTTCAACTGGGCTGTGGCGCTCAGTCTCGTGGGCCAGCTGCTCGTCATCTATTTCCCTTGGCTGCAGGAGGTGTTCCAGACGGAGGCCTTGGGCTTCTTTGACTTGGTGAGGCTCGTTGTGCTCTGCAGCACGGTGTTCTGGGCAGATGAATTTAGGAAATATTGGAAGTACGCTCGGCGAAGGATAGGGGGCGGGTACAGCCAGGCGGTGTAAGAGCAGCATAGTAGATAATGTAGCCTAGTGTGCTTGACGGCCTTGTAAGATGAGATTTATACAACCTGTACATTGGTTACAACCTGTCCCCAAGGACCGTCCATGGCTCTGTGGGCAGTATTCTTCTGGTGGTCAAATGACACGATCTGAACCTCGTCCACTCACCGAGCCCCTCGCTTAGACCCCGGTGAGGGGGGCCCCACACCGAGCAGCCCACCTGGCATCGGGCCAGCTAAGGGTCCCCCCCCCCCCCCTTCGTCATATGTTCACCTCCGACCTTCAACGCCATGCTTCAGCTCTAGCGAGATATCGGCGCCCCAATCCTTTCCCGACAACTTCCTACACGGCTGGCGAGCTCTAGAAGCTATGCACGTACGAGCCCGCTCACGCCAATGTCCGTCTCTACGAACGGCGTGCCCCCTGCCCGCCTCAACAGCTTCAGCGTCAGCAACAGTAGCAACAACCATGGCATCCCAACAACTCCCCTCCTCCCGAACCACAACGGTCCAGCAACAGCAGCAGCAGCCGCCGGCGCCACTGTCGCTACCGGCACGACGCAGCCTTCCATAGATGCCGCCTCGACAGCCGCCGAGGTGCGCGCCGCCCTGTCGATCCTCCACGCCCGCGAGTCCAGCATCACGTCCCGCCTCCACACGCTCCTGGGCTCCCAGGCCGACCTAGCCCGCGAGCTGGGCCGGCTCGACCTGCTGCGGGCGTCTCTCGGCGCGCAGGTGATCGCCGCCCGCGGCGTGGGCAACAAGATGCTGGCGTCGGCGGCCGAGACGGCGGGCGGGCTCTCGCGCCGGGTGCGGACGCTCGACCTCGAAAAGGGCCGCGTCGAGGCGACGCTCGAGGTGGTGCGGCAGGTCGCCGAGCTGCGGGCCTGCGTGCTCGGCGTCGTCGGCAGCATGGGCGCGCCGCAGGACTGGGAGGCCGCCGCCGGCTACCTCGCGCGCGCGGCCCTCGTGCCCGAGGCCATCACGCGCGGCCGCTTCGCCGCCGAGATTGTGCCGACCGTCGAGGTGCCCGACGCGCCGTGGGTCACGCTCGAGGACGCCCGCGCCAGCCTCTGCGGCCTGTTCCTGCGCGAGTTTGAGAGGGCCGCCGCCGAGGGCGACGGCGCCAAGGTCACGCGCTTCTTCAAGCTGTTCCCCCTCATCGGCAGGACCGACGTCGGCCTCGACGTCTACGGCCGCTACGTCTGCCAGGGCGTCGCCGGCACGGCGCGGTCCGTGTTGAAGGAGGGGCCGGGCGCGTCGTCGGCCAAGAGGGATGGGTTCTTCTACGCCAACGCGCTGACGAGGCTGTTTGACCACATTGCGAGGATCGTCGACGGACACGGCGGACTTGTCGAGAGGCACTACGGGTCGGGCAAGATGGTACGCGTCATTGAGAGGCTGCAGCAGGAGGCCGATGTCCAGGGTGGCATCATTCTGGATTCGTGGGCGGACGAGCGGGACGTCGTGCGGCGGATCAAGGATGTCAAGAGTTATCCCTTCTCGTTCCTCGTGCAGAGCTTCCTGCCACCGCAACGAGGCGGGACGCCGCGGGTCAACTCGCCAGCGACGGGCCTGGGCTCTACGAACCAGCGGCAGAGCGAGGATGAGGGCGTCAACATGAAGGAGGTCGACGGCGTGCTCAGCGAGATTGCTGTCATGCTCGGGCGATGGTCCTTGTACGCCCGCTTCCTGGCTGGCAAGGCCAGGGTACGTCTACGTGTGATGCAAGGGTCAATGGCCACGACTATGACTGACTGTACTTCTAGGACCCTGAAACCCCCGAGGAAGCCGACCTTGTGATGCCCGACTTGCTCACGAAATCCAACCTCAGCCGAAAAGTGGCAGACAAGCTGACGACGCCCTACAATACCATGATGACCTTTTTCTTCCGGCGGTCCGTCGAGAAGGCCTTCCAGCTGGACGAGCAACCCGCGGGCCTGTCCCTCAACCTGAGCAAGCCGATCGACACGAATTCGCCCAACATCATATCCGCGGTGGACGACGTCATGTACGTTGTCAGCGCCGTGCTTCAAAAGTCCGTCTCCACATTTCAAAGAGGCGTGGTCACATCGGTGGTGTCAGCCATCGAACGTGTTCTCACTGCCGATTTCGTCGGCATGGTCCAGCGCAAGATGCGCGACGAGTCGTTCCCCAAGCCGCTCGTCTCCGGTGGTTTCCCGCCAGAGGACAAGATCATCCAGTTCATCGTGCTCATCAACAGTCTCGACACGGCCAACGAGTACCTCACGCGCATCATCCACAGCAAGACGGGCGGCTCTGAGGCCGCCCTCGGCACGACGACAGGCGAGGGCTCCCTCCGAGAGTCCTTTCCGTTTGAGCGGGACGCCACCTTTGTGGCATCCAGCCTCGAGACGCTGCTCGCCAACTTCACGGCCAAGACGACCGAACTGATGAACGAAGGCCTCCAGGTGCTCTTCAACCAGGTCGTCAAGCCCCGCCTGCGGCCCGTCTTCAGCGACACGTTCCGCGACACGGACTATTCGTTCACGGAGGACGAGCTCGCCGAGTACGCGGAGCAGGTGGGCGAGAGCGAGGAGCAGGTCCTCGAGCAGGTGCCGCGCCGGTTCGAGCACGGCTGGGACCAGCTCATGAAGCCCGTCGCGCGGCTCATGACGCCGCACACGTTCACGACGGTGCATGACATCACGGCGCGGTACCTCGCGAGGGTCCTCGAGCAGCGGGCGTGGAAGAGCCGGGCCAGCGCGTTTGGCGTCATCCGCATGGAGCGCGACTTTTCGAGCATCGTCGGCACGGTGGCCAGGGGCAACTACGGCGTGCGGGAGCTCTTTGCGCGGTCGTCGCAGATTCTCATGGTGGCCAACATGGAGGACGAGGAGTGGCGGGAGATGGCTGCGGCGGACGACGACGACGAGGACGGCATGATCTGGGTGTTGACCGAGGAGGAGAGGAGGCGGGCGAGAAATCTCATCCGGGAGGGATAACCGCCTCCGTGGCAGGGCAATTTGTGATTCTGCGTGGCATGGAAAACGAGCGTTAGAGAAAAGCAAAGCAAGGCCATAGTGATGACGAGCATGTCCTGTCTCCCGTTGCCTCTCATCCCCGCCTGTGTGCGACCGTCTCGTGTCGCCCTCCACCACAGACACTGCGCTCGATCAGCCGTCGCGATTTCCCCCCATTCGTGATGGCCGCTCTCGAAACGAAACGCCCAGGACGGCCAAAGTCCGCCACGCCGCCATGAAGGTCCGCCAGCGGCAGCCCCCGTAGTTCGCTCGACGAGCGGAGCTGCGGATCGCCCAGCTGCCGCGGCCCTGGCCTTCCTGCCTTATCGCACACCTGTCAGAACGCAGTTGTCCTCTGCGTATGGGGAGATTACAAGCCATGGGGGTGTGTGTCTTCCACTCGAATGCCGATCTCATGGACACAGCTGCTCCAGACTAGCGAGCTGCCGGTCCCTCCCCCCTGCACGCGGCACGTCGTGGCCTTGCCGGCGTTACCGTGCGTAAACGCCGTTCCTCCCAGATGCCCAACTCTTCAGTAGCAGGCCGGGGACCAAGCACGTAGCAGAGAGCATGCTTGACGAAATCCTCCGGAGCATTCCTCACGAACGCGCGCTGCCTTTCTGACCAACACGTTGCATGCTACTATCGGAGGGTTTTTTTTCTCTCGAAGGGGTAAGTCTTGATGTCGCATGCTGAATCATCCATGCGAAACCCTCCGTGATGATTACTTGGTCGCTCGAAAGAGGCCCTGGCCGGGGTGGCTCGGAGGCGGACTGATCATGTAATCCGACATGGCCGACTACGCTGAGCTGCGGGGGCCGAGGCATCTGCCCGGGGGGTTGTTTGTGCGACCACTGGGAACGAAAGTACTGAGCGTTCCTCGTGGGGTGTCTGGTGGTGCAGCATGTCACCTCGGGTGGTACTCTTGGCGAAGGATCACAATACTGCAGAAGAGATGGTGTGTATTTCGAATTGGACGGTTTCGTTATGCAATTGGCAGATTCATCCGGGTGGTTTCACTGGAGCATGGAAAGGACCAAACATCTGTTGGAGGACGTGTATGCAGGAAACGGGATTGAAGGGTGGAAAGATATGTCTATATTTTGATGAAAGCCGTAGTGTGATGAAATCTGTCATTGGATGAAAAATGGTATTATCTACTATCTCCAACGCCTCGCACATGGGAGTCCAAGGTCCCGAAATAGACACGACGGGATATCATAAAACGGAATGAGAAGGAGAAGAACAACAATTAAAAGAAAAGAAAAAAAAAGGTAGAATCAAGAGGCCACGCTAGACGTGCGACGCCAGCTCCTTCTCGGTCCACGCCCAGAGCTGCTCCTCGAGGTCCTTGTCCCTGGCGTTCTTGCTGGCCTTGGTGTCCTTGACGGGCAGGCCGACGGGGAAGTAGAAGCCGCCGGACTGGACGTCGGGGCTCGTGGCGGCCCAGAGGCTGTTCTTGGTGCCGTTGGCGACGTTGGTCAGGAAGAGGCTGAGGACGGAGAAGACGGGCTTGAAGACGGGCCACTTGGCGCCGGGGCCGGAGGCGGTGAGGTTGGTGCGGACGACGCCGGGGTGGATGGAGACGACCTTGAGGTCGGGGTGGCGGCGGGCGAGGGCGCTGGCGTGGTGGACGTTGGCGAGCTTGGAAATGCCGTAGCGGGTGAAGGTGCTGACGGAGGTGTGTTCGGTCTTGAGCCCGGCAAAGTCGTAGGGGTTGGTGGCCGGGGCCGCGTTCTCGAGGAGCGACGAGAGGTTGACGATGCGGACGTCGCGCGGCGGCGACGTGGCGGCGGCGGTGCGCTTGAGGGTGGGCAGCAGGAGGTTGGTGAGGAGGGCGTGGCCGACGTGGTTGGTGCCGAACTGGATCTCGTAGCCCTCCTTGGTGGTGCCGTTGGGCGTGGCCATGATGCCGGCGTTGTTGATGAGAATGTCGAGCCTGTCCGACTTGGACAGGAACTCGGCGGCGGCCTTCTTGATGCTGTCGAAGGAGGTGAGGTCGAGGCTCAGGAAGGAGATGGGCGCCGCGTTGGGCACGATCTTGCGAATCTCCTCGATGGCGGCCTGGGCCTTGGACTCGGTGCGCGCCGCGAGGTAGATGTGTGCCGGCTTGTGCTTGCTCAGCTGCAAGACGGTCTCCTTGCCGATGCCGATGTTGCCGCCGGTCACGAGGATGACACGGCCGGAGAGGTCAGGAATGTCCTTGTCGGGGTTAAAGGAGACCATGATGGATGGTGATGGAGGGTGACGTTTGAACGAGTTGGTTCACTGGGCTGGGATGGTAGTGTCTGCTTGATGCTGCTGCTGGCGATGGAGAGAGACGGGATTCTTGGCCACCCGGGGCCAGTGTCATTTATGTACGCCGGGGCATCACCGGTCCCTACCTACCTTGCCTACCTAGGCACCTTACCTGAAAAGCACGTAGACGAGAACACCACGCGGAGTTTGACGTTCGGGACCCCTTGTCTGCGCCAGTACGCGATGACTAGCGAGGCATACGTCGCCTTGAGGGCACCTAGTATGATGAGCCATGTGGCCAGGGTGCCGTTGCGAGGCGTGCGCATCGCGCCATGCTGCTGTGGTCAAGCTACGTCCTAAGTCCGAGACAGCCAACGAAACAGAACAGGGCCATGTCCTGGTCTCGGGGTCCGGGGCCTGCGTGGGGCGCCACATGCCGAAGCTACCAGGCGTCCGTCCTGTCAGGTCATGGGTCATGGCAGTTGATTTTTCACGATCCATCCGGGCTTGGCCTGGCTTTCTCATCTTGGGTGGCATTCCTATGGCGCGCCGAAACTCCGCAGCGGAATCGAGGGTCCAGCAGACGAGGGCTAGCGAGAACGAGTGCGACTAGAACAAAGAGAGAGAGAGAGAGAGAGAGAAGCGATGGCGTCCAAGGCCATGGAGAGACCTACAGGGGCGGGATCGGCCCAATTGCCGGTTTGTCATCCCGTTCGTCGGCGACCATATCTTGCTTTGTAGTCGGCGCAACCCGAGGCCCGAGTCTCCGCTGAGCGCCCAAGACGGCTTGTTCTGTCAGCGAGGCAGCCCGAAGAAGAGAAGAGGTCTCAGCGAGGCAGCCTCTGCGACGGCGAATGCCAAGATTGCGCTTGGCGGGTCACCCGTGTGTGTCTCTCTCTCTGTGTATGTGGGTAAGGTGAATCCAGCTCGAGAAGGCTGTGAGAATCCCACTGAAGGCATCCTTTGGCATGATGCTCCCCAAACTCCTTTGCATGATGCTCCCAAAACGCCCATACCTTGTTGCAGGCGCACTTGTTGCAGGCGCAGAAGACGAATACGAGGGCAATCTAGCAAGCTTTCAGTCGGCCGTGATGCTGCCGCCAAGGCGCAATTTGACTTTGATTGAACCTGGAATAGGTGAGGTCAATCCATCGCACATGTCAGCGCAGAGATCGATCAGCATCTCCTTTGCTTCAGCATAACCACACCACGGTAGACAACGAACGGAGACCAAGAGGTGGAAATCTCCAACGTGCCTCTTCGTCGTGATTTTTGGCCATGTCCATGCACCTTGTTGTCGCCCGTTGACCGTGCTCAGCCGTCACCGTTGGCTGGTCGTGGCAGCCATGTCGAAATTTTGCGCCAGCAGAAAAACTTCTGCGTGACTCAACCCAAGGCATTCATCAACCCATCCACATCTCATGTCTTGAGGGAACGATCTCATCAACAACGTACCTTAAAAGGTACCCAGCACATACCCAGCACACTGTAACCACAGTCTCGTCTGTCACACATCATTCAGGGCCGTTGAAGAAGAAGACGATCTCGACCAAAGGCATCACACAATCGCAGCCTCGCCGCAGCGCCAACCTCACGTTGGCTCTCATCACCTGGCCCCGTGTAAGCAGCCGGTGGCGCACAGCCCTCTCGCATACCACGCGCACGCACACCCCACACAGGAGACGACCTCTCACCATGGAAACACGGATCGTCAAGGTCAAGAGCAAAGAGCTCGGCCACTTCGAACAAGGCGGCGAGAGGCTCGGCCGATGGCAGGTGGCCTCCGACCCCGTGGCCACGGCCGAACTGCGTGAAGCCGCCGCCTACCTGCGCACCAACGACACCCCCGTCGCCTTCCCCACGGAGACCGTCTACGGCCTCGGCGCCGACGCCACCCGCTCCGCCGCCGTCAAGGGCATCTACGCCGCCAAGGGCCGGCCCTCCGACAACCCCCTCATCATCCACGTCAGCGACCTCACCATGCTGCGCCGCTTCCTGGCCCCGCCGCCGCCGTCCGACACACCAGATGCCGTCGACACCGCTGCTGCCGCCGCCGACCCCATCCCGGCCATCTACAAGCCCCTCCTCGAGCGCTTCTGGCCGGGGCCCCTGACCATCCTCCTGCCCCTGCCCTCGCCCTCGCCGCTGGCCCCCGAGGTGACGGCCGGCCCGCCGACCTTCGCCGTCCGCATGCCCGCCTCGCCCCTGGCCCTCTCCCTCATCGCCCTCGCCGACACGCCCCTCGCCGGCCCGTCCGCCAACGCCTCGACCAAGCCCTCGCCGACCGCCGCGCGCCACGTCCTCGACGACCTCGCCGGCCGCATCGAGCTCATCCTCGACGCCGGCCCCTGCGACGTCGGCGTCGAGAGCACCGTCGTCGACGGCCTCTGCGACCCCCCCGTCGTCCTGCGCCCCGGCGGCATCGCCCTCGACCGCCTCCCCGCCTGTCCCGGCTGGGCCCGCGCCGTCAAGGGCTACCGCGACGCCAGCGAGGAGGGCGCCGCCGCCCCGCGCGCCCCCGGCATGAAGTACAAGCACTACAGCCCCAGCGCGACCGTCGTGCTGTACGAGGCCGCCGGCGCGAGCGGCGCCGACGGCATCGCCGCCGAGGATCTGCGGCGGGCGCTCGACCTGCCTGTTACCGGTGGACCGGACGGGCTTGCCGCCGGCGTCAGGAAAATGGGCGTCATCCGCACGCGGCGGTGGAAGAGCGTCGGCGCCGTGGGGAGCCGGTACCGCGGCGTGCCCGTCGTGGCGGCCGAGGCCGTCAAGGCGGAGGCGAGCGACGAGACGGTGTTCGAGATTGTCGAGGGCGAGCTGCTGGGCGACGATGGCGAGGCGCTGGCGACCATCCTCGACATCGACCTCGGCGAGACCATTCCGGGCATCGCCAAGGGCCTGTTCTCTGCGCTCCGGGCGCTGGACAGGAGGGGCGTCGCCATGATTTTTGTGGACGGCGTCGATGATGGGGACGATATTGCGGCTGCCGTCATGAACAGGCTGCGCAAAGCAGCGTCGGAGACGAGAGTCTGAGAGCCGGCTGCGATGGGAAAAAAAACATAGAGACACATAGACGGGCTTCAGGATGGTTTTCTAAAAACATCAAATCATCATCTTGCCCCCTCCCCCCCTCCGCCCCGAGCTTGGGCTGGGGGAACTTCTACTTTTCATGACAAACATGACGAACAATGCATGCGATGCCCTGTAGGACCCGAGAACTCCGTTGCACCCAGCCAGCCACATGGACCCCCTTTCACGTCCGCCCCCCCCTCCTCCTCTCTACAGGCCCTGCCTCAACCAGTCGGCAAGCTTCGACTTTCCTAGTTGCGCCAGGTTGTTGACGCCCTGTTCGCTGAGGTCGATGCGGCGCAGGTCGACGTCCTGGGCGGGGGCCTTGCTCACGCGCTGCACGATAATGGTGGGGTCCGTCTCGAGGATGATGCCGTCGTCGATGATCTCGTCAATGGCGAGCGAGACGAGGTCCTGCAGCAGTCAGCTCTGTGTTCTAGATCGGGTTGTGTCCGTGGGCCGGCTTGTGCGTGGACCAGCTTGTGTCCGTGGACCGGCCGAGAGATGATGGACGTACGTAGTTCTCGACGCAGGTGCGTTTGTCGACGCTGGACCTGTCATGGAACGCAATTAGCTCTGGATATTTTTCTTCGGGTAGACCGCAAGTAGGACGGTGCCACGACTCACTTGAACAGGAGATGCAAGCTGTCCCTGATGCAGAGAATGGCGTTGTACAGGAGCCTGGCAATCGTAAGCTTCACGTGGTTCACAGCTTCACAGTGACTCCCCTACACCTCGTTCTCGTCGACGCTGCCGACAATGTAGATCATGACGTCCGACTCCATCTTGAACACTGCACACACGTCCGTATCAGCAACTTGCGCAGGGCCATGTCTCAACGTCGTGCTCACGGCAGATCCTGTTGTCGTAGAGGATGATATCGCTGGTCTGCTTGGCCGTCTTCTCGAGGAGACCCTTCTCAAACGTCTTTTGCGACTTGACATCGGGGTACGGGTTGGGGTGAGCAGAGCCTGTAGGCACCTCGTCAGCTCGGACAACCGGAAAACGCCAGTCCGCGTCTGCAGTCCATACCTTCCTTGCCGCCGGTCAGGGCCTCGTGGGGCGCATTGTAGTACCTGGGACTGTCAGTACCAGGCGAGCGTCTCGGTGGGCTCGAGGTCCGTACTTGGCAAAGAGCCTCGTGCCGTCCTCCGTGTTGAGGATGATGACGGCGTTCACCGAGAAGAGCGACAGAGCGGGCGCCATGGTGCTGGTATGTGTCGAGCTTGAGGTCGGAACTGGGTATCTGGGTATCTGGGTATCTGGGTATCGCGGTGAGCTTCGGCTTGGTGGGTTGCGATCCGTGACAGCACAAGTGTCCAGCCTGGCGCTCACCACCCACTCACGACGGCGCATTGGACACGGTGCTTGGGTGGGGTTCTCAGTGTAGCGGGCGCAATGTTGAGCCGTTCCGGTTCAGAACGACGCCTTCCAGGGTACGTACCTCTTTAAGGGCGGGGGAGCCAAAGGTACTCTTTCCACGTACCGCGTTAAGTGGCACGCGTCGACAAACCCCCTGAAACGCGTCGGGGTTGCCCTAGTGAGCGTGAGAGCGCGTAGAGTGCCAATTTGCTGTCGTCGCCAGCCCACTTCGACTTTCAACCCCCCCCCCCTCCCTTCCTGCGATCATCAACCCGCCATTCACCCTCAACCCTGCGCTGTCGCATCCGCTCTTCATCGGCAATCGTTGTTCGCTACAATCGTCCAACATGTCGTCCCCGAGCAAACGATCGACTCGTAGCTCCCAGGTCGGGACACCGCGCCGCTCCACCAGGAACGCAGAGGTTCCCAAGAGCAGCCCCGCGCCCCTCGCTTCCGACGATGCTGAAGCACCCGCCGGGTCGCAGACGCCCCGACAGAACCCCCCATCCTCGCGCTTGCAGTCGAGTCCTCTCTTTTACCAGTCCTCTCCTGCCGTGGGGGGCAATCGCCGCACCGGCCCCGCGCTCGGCGATGTGTCCTCGCCGCTTCGACACATGACGAACAGCCAGAGTACCGCTACAGCGGCGCCCAGCTCTCCATTGCGCCAACAGACCGAGACGCAGTCGATTGACGGCGATAGAACACCCCGCGCCAGCGGCACCGTCAGAGGTCAGAAGCGCAGAGCATACTAAAACCCCCACATATGTACTGACCGGCCCCCCCGTCGTAGACTCATCCCCCGTTCGCTATGATCCCAGCTCTAGTCCTGGCCGGTCACGGCCAGCCCAATCTGAGTTGCGCAGCGAAAGCAGTGCTCTCTTTGTCGGACAGCGCTCCGGCTCTGCCTACTCCCGCAGCCGCCAGGAGATGGGTCTGTCCGCTCAGCCCATTCACCGTATTTTCCTGAACGAGTCGGGCAGGATCACGCGCGACGGCAGTGTGCCTGGTTCGGACCCCGCCTCCTTCAGCAACCGCGACCCCAACACGTCAGAGGCCAACCGCCTGGGCGGTGCCAACGAAGCCCTTGTTTGGGGAACGAATATTTCCGTCGACGATTCCTTCACCGCCTTTAAGGACTTTTTGCGCCACTTCACAAAGAAGTATCGCATGTACAAGGACGGGGCCTCGGAGGCTGAGGTCAAGGCGGCGCCGGACGCCGAGTCCAAGCCTTACATGGAGCAGCTCCAGACAATGCTGCTGCTGGGCAACACAAAAATGTACCTGGACCTTGCCGATGTGAACGCCTACCCGCCCACCCGCAAGTTCTGGCACCAGATTCAGTCCTATCCCCAGGATCTCGTCCCTATCATGGACCAGTCTGTGCATGACATCATGACGGAGCTCGCCGCGGCTGAGGATATGCAGCGTCGGTCCCAGAGTACCGCAGGTCGGAGCTCTCACCAGATCAGCTCGCAAAGCTCCGAACCCGTCTTCCCCAGCTCCGACCGCCCTGATGGAGCCCCTTCGCCGGGCGGCCAACCAGACCAGCAGTCCATGGAAGATGCGGTATCACAGATGGTCTACAAAGTCAGGCCCTATGGCCTCGCGACCACGACGAACCTGCGTGATCTCAACCCATCAGACCTGGACCAGCTCGTCAGCATCAAGGGTCTCGTCATCCGCACGAGCCCCATCATCCCCGACATGAAGGACGCCTTCTTCCGATGCAACGTCTGCAACCACTCGGTCAACGTCGGTCTCGATCGCGGCAAGATCAGCGAGCCGACCAAGTGCCCCAGGCCTCGGTGCGGTTCCGACAACTCGATGCAGATCGTCCACAACCGATGCACATTCGAGGACAAGCAGATCATCAAGCTCCAGGAGACGCCAGACTCTGTACCTGCCGGCCAAACCCCTCACTCTGTGTCTGTGTCATGTGGCCACGACCTGGTCGACTTTTGCAAAGCTGGTGACCGCGTGGAGCTCACCGGTATCTTTCGATCCAGCCCTGTCAGGGTCAATCCCCGACAGAGGACAATCAAGAGCGTATACAAGACATACGTGGATGTGCTGCATGTGCAAAAGGTGGACAAGAAGAGGATGGGCATGGACCCCTCGACTTTGATGCTCGAGGGCGACGACGAGAACGAGCTCGAGGGCAAGGAGGAGACGCGCAAGCTGTCGGCCGAAGAGGAAGCCAAGATTCAAGAAACGGCCGCACGGTCCGACATTTACGATCTTCTGTCGCGATCGCTGGCACCATCGATCTACGAAATGGACGATGTCAAGAAGGGCATTCTCCTCCAGCTGTTTGGCGGCACCAACAAGACCTTCCAGAAGGGAGGTAGCCCCAAGTACAGAGGCGATATCAACGTGCTGCTCTGCGGTGACCCGTCGACGTCGAAGTCGCAGCTTCTCGGCTACATCCACAAGATTGCTCCGCGCGGCGTCTACACCAGTGGCAAGGGCTCTTCCGCTGTCGGCCTGACCGCATACGTCACGAGGGATCCTGAGAGCAGGCAACTCGTGCTCGAGTCTGGTGCTCTTGTCCTGTCCGACGGCGGCGTGTGCTGCATCGACGAATTCGACAAGATGTCCGACGCCACCCGCTCAGTGCTTCATGAAGTGATGGAGCAGCAGACTGTTTCGGTGGCCAAGGCGGGCATCATCACGACGCTGAACGCTCGCACCAGTATTCTGGCCTCAGCCAACCCCATCGGCAGTCGATACAACCCGGATCTTCCCGTGCCGCAAAACATTGATCTGCCTCCGACACTACTGTCTCGTTTTGATCTCGTCTACCTCATTCTGGATCGCGTTGACGAGAAGACGGACCGCAAGCTCGCTCGCCATCTTCTCTCCCTCTACCTCGAGGACACGCCAGACTCGGCCGCCACGGAGCTGGACATTCTGGTACGTTTCCTAGCCCTGATACCTTTTCTTGCAAGTGACTGGGCGACTAACGAACTTCAGCCCGTCGAATTCCTGACCTCCTACATCTCCTACGCCCGCGCCAACATCCACCCGACCATCTCACAGGACGCAGCCCAGGAGCTCGTCGAGAACTACGTCGACATGCGCAAGCTCGGCCAGGACGTCCGCGCCGCCGAGAAGCGCATCACGGCGACGACGCGTCAGCTCGAGTCCATGATTCGTCTCGCCGAAGCGCACGCCAAGATGCGCCTCTCGACGACCGTCACGCGCGACGACGTCAAGGAGGCGTGCCGCCTCATCCGGTCGGCGCTCAAGACGGCGGCCACGGACTCGCAGGGCCGCATCGACATGAGCCTGCTCACCGAGGGCACGAGCTCCGCCGAGCGCAGGCGCCGCGAGGAGATCAAGGACGCCATCCTGAGACTGCTGGACGAGCTCACGAGCGCGGGACAGTCGGTGCGCTACAGCGAGGTCGCCAAGCAGCTGAGCGAGGGCGCGAGCGTGGCCGTGGAGCAGGCTGACTTTAGCGAGACGATGCGGGCGCTGGAGATGGAGGGCCTCGTCATGATCAGCGGCGAGGGCGCGAGGAGAAACGTCAGGCGCGTCACGGCTGTAGTGTAAGCGGCGTGTTGGGGGAATGAAGCACGAAGGATATGGGGATAGGACTGTGGTTCACGATAATGGCGTATGCGGAGAGGGAACGGCTGTGTTGGGAGGGGGTTATGTCATGATCTCGAATCGTCTCACGCAATGAATACCATTTTTTCAAGGATGCATGTGAAGCTGCCGTGCTTGTGCTCGTAGTCAACCCGCCGAGTCGAGCAGACCTGACTGACGGGATTGGCACGCTGAGTTGGGATCTGGAAATCGACATGTTGGGAGTGGATGGGTGTCGCTAAGCTGTCTGCCTCTACTCGTCCTCATCCTCGATCCTCGCATTGACACTTTCATAACCAATGTTCTTTGCTGTCTCAAAGCTAGCAACGTGTCTGAGAATGGAAGCTCGAGCCCAGCGTCTAGACGCCACCACATATTCTTGGTCCCTCTCGATTGTGATGCTGGTGTTTGTTCTCTTAATAAGGCAGTCTAACACCGCTCTGAGCAACCACAAGAAAGGAACAAGTCACGCTACGGTCTTCGCTGACTTGGAAGCAGCTCATCAGCACTGCACCCATCTTTGTTTGTCATTCATGCGCCACACAACATTGCCAAGTCATACATGGCTCAAGTCACAAAGGGCCGTCGAGCGATGGGTTCTTCTCATTATTGAAACCAGTGACTCGGCGACGTCGCCTTTGTCGTCTGCCAACGCGCGTAGACGCCTAAGTATGTCCCCATGCGGCATTCCCTTTTCAACAGTCTCGCACTGCGCTCCGATAGCAACCGCCCGCCATCGCTCCATCGCACTGTTTCTCGCAGCATGAATCATCGCAAGCCAGACCAAGTTTTCGGCGGTATGGAAATCGGCATCCCCCCCAGCCAGCCTCTTCCGCCGCCGCCGCCCCTGAGGTCGAAGAGGAAGCCGATCGCGCTTCACGAACATACCCGCTCGTGGGCCGACTTTGGAGGTCCCCGAACCAGCGCCCCGCCACGACCACCTCCACCGCCGGCTCCGCGGTGGCAGAGCGAGGTGTCCCGATGGCAGACCCCGCCTCCGAGACGCTCCTCTGCCGACTCGTCGGAGAAAATGTCCTTTGAAAGTGGCGTCCTGCCGCCGGCGCAGCGACCTCGTCTCGACGACGGCCACGCGAGCCGCCCCGCCCCGCCCCGCGCGAACGACGATGCACTACATGTCGACACTTCGGGGGCACAAGACCGCACGGTGGCAGGAGACCATGACATCCAGGCGATGACGATCCCTGCCTCACGAACAAGCAGCATCTACAGCACGGAGCACGACCTGCCGCTCTCCGAGCCGGCGCGCACGCTGGGCATTTTCGAACGCGAGCCCGCGCGGCGCGCGTCTCTGCCGGCGGGGCCCCGCTCGCCGAGCCTGCATCACTTTGAGACGATTCCCGCGCGGCGGAGCAACTACAACGAGCACAGCGTCGACGTGGCGCGGGACCTGTATCACGCGACGGCGACGCAGCTTGCTGTTCTGACGCGGGGTGGTGGGCGTAGCAGCACGTTGAGCTTCGCGGACAATGTGGGCCAGACGGGACGAAGGAGGGGTGTTCCGGCGAGGGTCGAGACGGGGGCGATGCCGGCGTCGACGGATGTGGCGAGGACGCCGTATCCGCCGGGATCGGGGGGTTCGCGGTTCGACCTGGAGGAGACGAAGGTTGGTAGGAGGGAGAGATATTCGGGGGCGTTTTCGAGGGTCTTTCGACGCAGGAGTAGTGAAGTGCGCTCTGCTGGTGGAGATGAGCAAATACCTGAGCGGAATGGCGAGCAAGGACCCATCATCCCCATGAGATCGAGGAGGGCGAGCGGCCCGGATACACCAAGGCCCATCTTCCTCGCCGGTCCTGGGACAGGCGGCTTTGACTCTGGAGTCAAGCCAGGGCCTGCGTCTCCAGGTCTGCTGCAGAAAATCAACAGGCAGTGGAACGAGCTGTTGGCTCAGGCCAAGAGGACGTCTGGCCACGGACGTGCTATTGCGGAGGAGGAGAGACGGCGGGAGGCTCTCAAGGGGAAGATCAAGGTCCTGAACGATGGAGCACGGGTGTGACTGGTGGAGAAGACAGAACGTTTGGACCAGGCATAGCTGGAACTAGGGCAATAGAGATGATTTTGGCATAATGGGCTGGCCAGGCCATCTGTGGTGTCGTTGGTTTGTTTGATCGTGTCCCATCGCTTCGTCGTGTATCAATCCTGTTCAGGCAATCAATCCTGTTCAGGGACAGGCACAGGCACAGCACAGCACAGACGAGGCTGGCAGGAACTCCGAGGCAGCCCCGCCCCCGCATTCGGCGCCCCGGCCTCATGACGGCCCAGCTCACCCGATCGCCGTGCCCCACCATGTCCCTGGTCTGTAGGTGCCTACATGATAGGTAGGCTTGGTAGGTACTTAGGCTTGCTAAGCGGCATACCTAGACACAGACAGGAACCGCTAAAACCCCACCTGCCTACCTAAGTACCCAAGATGGTTGTGCCTGCGACGGACCTGAATCATCTTGTGACGGCATCTCCAATATTCTATACTCCCCCCCATCTTCTCCCTCTTTCACCACCATGAGCACACAACCGCTAGCCGCGTCCAGCGACAGCAGCGTACTTCACGAGGCCGCCATTCCACCACACGGCATTCCACTCGGACCTACTGCTCTACCTCAACCCACCGAAGAAGACCTCAGCAACTTTGTCACCTACCTGCGGAAAGCCTCGGCTTCTCGACCCGAGGCTGACACAGGCTCCAACCTCGACCTCGATCTCGACTCCTCCTACTGGGATGCCGCCGCCATGTCGCCGCTGACAGCGCAATCGGCGGCCGCCCTCGCCCGCCTCCGAGCATACAGGCCGCCGCCTCTGCCAACATGGGACCGCCTGCCCGCCAGCCGCCGCGCTGCCGTGCTTCTCCTCCTATTTGCCGATCGCCGTGGCGATTTGAGGGTCGTCATCACCATGCGCGCCGCCAGCCTGCGCAGTTACTCTGGACACGCTGCTTTCCCTGGTGGCAAGGCCGATGACGTTCACGAGACGCCCTGTATGTCCATCTCTCTTCCGCTGCTCGCTTGCTGCTGCTGCTGCTGCTGCTGCATCTACACCCTGCCATGCCTCGGATCGAGACCCACCCCTTGCTGACTCGGCCCAGACCAGATTGCCCGCCGCGAGGCCTTTGAGGAAATCGGCCTGCCCAACATACATCACCCCCTGCCCGCCCCCTTCCGCATCGAGTCGCTCTGCGAACTACCTTGCAACATCGCCCAGACCCAGATCGTCGTGCGCCCCTGCGTCGCCTTCCTGCACACCGACCAGACGACGGAAACGAGACCGCCCGGCGCAGCGGACGCCCATGCCGACGCCCCTCCGCCGGCCGAGGCCATGATCCCCGTCCTCGACGCCAAGGAGGTCGCCGCCGTCTTCTCGGCCCCCTTCCACAACTTTCTGCGCGCCCAGGACGAGGCGACGGGCCGCACCCACCCGCCGGGCCACTGGTACGACGGCCGCTGGGTCAACTTTGGCGAGTCGCCGTGGCGCGTGCACAACTTCTACGTCCCCGTCGACGCGCAGCGCGTGTCCAAGCCCGAGGTGCAGCCCGAGGTGCCGCCCGCCGTGGCGCGTGCGCAAGACGAAAAGCAGCAAGACGAGGCCCCAGCCGACGCGGATGCGCAGGCGCAGGCGAAGCTCGCGGCGAAGCTCGAGGAGGAGCAGGTCGCGCGGTACAAGGTCTGGGGCATGACGGCGCACATTCTCGTCGATGCGGCGCGGCTTGCGTACGGCGAGACGCCCGAGTTCGAGCACAACCCGCACCACGGCGACGAGGACATCATCAAGACGGTGGAGAAGGACGGGGGCTTCTTCGACACGAAGAAGCCCAAGCCGGACGTCGCTTCCGACCCAGCTCTCAAGGAGGAGACCAAGGCTACAGCAGCAGGAGCAGCAGGAGCAGCAGAAGGAGCTGGAGAGCCGGCCAAGATGTAGAGCTTTGTTGTTTCTTTCTCTTTGCATTTGCATTGAAGTAATGTCGACGTGTCCGTCGCATACTGATGTAGATATCCCACGGCAGCCGCAACCTTTAGAGGAATGACATGAGACTCCAGCTTGACACACTCCCCATCTGCCTTTAACAGGACCAGCGATGCAAACAAACGTCTCTTAATGGCAGGCGTTGTCCTTGGTAGAGGACGTCGAGTTGCCGAAGAGAAGGTAGCCCACGAACGCGCCAAGCGCCACAGCAACCATGACCCAGCCGTTGTACGTCATGAAGATCAACCTGCGCCGTCAGCAAACCCCGATTCTCGGACCATCCACCTCCGACAACCCCTACAAGTGAGAGGGCGCGGGGGCAGAGGGAAATACGGAAAAAAAAAAGAAGAAGCAGAGCCAAACTCACATGATCATAAAGGCGTAAAAGTTCTGCAGCGCGTAGAGCACGGCCTTGACGACGTGCGCGGTCTTGCTCGCCTCAACCTGCTGCGATCCTGTCCAGAGGAAGGGCGTGGTCTCAGTATCGGGTTCTCGGTCACCGGTGGCTTTATCGAGCGGGACACACGTCTTTAGCCGCCGAGCGCTCCGACTCGAGGGATTGGGGAGACATGATATGGCGGGGGGGGGAGACATGACATGGCGGGGTGGGAGATAGAGGGGCTATAAGAAGGAGGGGTTGGAGGAGACGTACTGGGGAGGTTCGCGACACGCTTGTTGACGGCCGTCTCGTAGCGGCGGGAGGCGGCGCGGAGGGCCTCGTAGCCGGCGGTCAGAGCGACGACAAGGAGGAGTGACAGGACGAGGGAGAAGGTCGAGTCGATGCGCCATTGACGGAAGACGATGCAGAGGTTGTTGGTGTCCCAGGTGAAGAGCATCTGAAGAGCGGCACGGGTTAGCTGGTGCCTAGGCAGAGGTGGAAGGGGGGAGAGGGTGACTTGCGTTCATGCTGCACTGGGCGCCGCCCATGTCGCCGTGGTCCATTCCGCCGTGCCCGTGGTCCATGCCGCCATGGCCAGAGTCGCCGTGATCCATGTGGGAGTGGTCCATTGTGTCTGTCCGTGTACTTCACCGGGTGTCGTGGCCGATTATGGGGTATAGATAGGTACGGTAGAATCCAGTGGGGGTGGGCAGAGTTCCGGCGGGACGTTGAGTTGAAGAGGCAGGAACAAGAAATGCGAAGGTATGAAATCGGAATCGCAAAAGACAAAAGCTCTCAAATGCGCGCAAATGGCTACTCTGGATAGCTTCGAGGTTGCTGTTGGTGATTCGACACCTCGACAGTACCAGGTCAGCAGGCCGTCACTGGCGGTTGAGGTGTTACAGGTACGACCTCGATTCGGTTAGCGCAGCCGTTTACCCCACCACGTTGTCGGCCGGCAGATGCAATCGAACTCATACTTGCACTTAGCGGGCATGATGCATCTAAGGCACATTCCAGCGCCTAAGGAATACCATCGACTGCATCTCACCATCCTTTTGGGTTCGATGTCTCCCGTTCCTCACCGCTGACAAGAACGAAGAGCGGCTTCGTCTTGGCTGACTGCATGGTTGCCTTTCTCAGTGCCGACAGGGTAGTTGCCCACTCTGGATCCGACTTCAGATGTTCCGCGTTTCCGAGTGCCGTGGCACCCCACACGTCTGTCATTCTGGCATTCGCCCCTGCGTCGAGCAGTGTCATGACCGCCGCCCTCGCTCTGTGTTGCACAGCGAGCATGAGGGGTGTTGAGTCGTCCTTGCCCGGATGCCTGGCGTTGACGTCGGCGCCGTAGTCTCGCAGCATCTTGATGAGGGGCGCGTTGTTCATGTGCGCCGCCCAGTGCATCGTCGTCGAGCCGTCTGGACCACGCCCATTGACGTCGCCGCCCGCGCGTATGATGGCCTGGGCGTAGACCCACTGGGACTCGAGATAGAGGTGCGTGAGGAGGTTGGCGGTCCCTCCCACCTTGGAGTCCGGATCCTCCCCGTTGTCCAGGAGGAGCTGCATCATGGCTGGTGTATCGTCCCTGTTGAACAGGATGGAGATCTGCAGAAGCGAGGCGTCATACAACAGCGCGCGGCACCGGCTGTGGTATTCGCGCTCGTGCTGTGGTTGAATTTTGTCCGTGGCGATCGTCGCCGGGATAAACCTGTTGAGCGCGGCGCCGTGTTCGATCAAGAGCCTGGCGTGCTCCCGCTGCTCCAGCACCACGGCGACCTGGATCGGCCGCAACCCTGGAAGCAGAAGTGCGTCAGCTGGAACAGGTCATCTGGAACGGACTCTTCGGGTACAAGAGCTCGTGAAAGTTGAGGAATCAACTGCGTACCTGTGTCCGCCTCGGGAAGATCAGGGTTGAGCCCCTGCTGTAGTAGAATCTCGAGAGACCGTGTGTCACCACGCTCGATAGCTCGATGCAGAAGCGGTGTCGAGCCGATGCCGCTCCCCAGTCGCTTTGCGCAAGCCCAGATGACGGGCTGCACGGAATCCAGATCCATCACATGCTGCGGCAGCCAAGTGAAGAATTCCGTGGCGAACTGGCCCATGGAGCAGCCCCGCTCGATGAGAAGGCCAGCTACGTTCCAGGACTGCTCTAGCAAGGCGAACTGGAAAGGGGTCTCGCTGCGAGAGTTCTTCCTGTTGATGATGCTCGTGTCATGCTTGATGAGAATGTCTGCCGTTTCCCTGTCGTCGTACGAGACGCAAATGTGCAACACAGTCTGGCCTTCTGGTGATCGCTGGTTCAGGCCAGCGTCCTGGGACAGCACATACTCCACGGCGGCTCGGTCTCCAGACGTCACAGCTTCTAAGAGTGTTTTTGGCGCGCGCGCAGACCCGTTACCGACAGCTTCTTCCGTGTCTGCAGCACTGCCGGCCTGCTCTGGACTGCATGGAAACCTGTCAGCGAGAATGATAATGCGATAGGTGACAGATGTTTACCCACAGCGAGTCAATAGGCGGAGGAGCCGCTGGGATCGTGGCGACCTCTAGGCGATCAAAGTAGTTGCGGATCCCGAAATTCATATCTGTCCTGCCCGCTACGCTTACGACCTGACTATCACTCGTCACGCTTCTCAGATCGTCTTCTAGCTTGTCGCGAAAGCGCTGCCGGGTAGCACGGCTCAGAGGGCTCGCGCCCCGGTCCAACTTCATGTTGAGCTCGGCAATGTCCATGCGAATCGCATGGTACCCTTTGCCGGCCACCGTACTGCATCGTCTGTCAGCTCGACTGTAGAGGACCTTGCTGGACTGAACGTTTGGTACCCATTGAGGACGGTGATGGCCATGTTCAGGTTGTCTCTAGAATCAAACAGTCTCGTTTTAAGAGCCTGCCTCGACTTTTGCCGCCAGGACCAGTGCACCTTTTGTCGCAAACTCCGCCTCTCTAACACGCCAGGTGTCGTCGGCGTGCGAGGCTTGAAGGCGCTCAGCTCATCGTACAGGCTGCTGCTGGCATCCTCGCACTGTTTCACGCAGCTCATCAGAGTTTCCGACAGCAGCTCATCGACGTCTTTAAACTCGTCCAGCGAGCACAATGTCTTTGTGCTGTTCAAAATCGTTGCAAGGGATATGAGGTTCGACCCCAGATCGCGAATATCGTCGGGCGCGTCTCGGATTTCATTGACCAGATTCGTCAGCTTAAAGGCCGCATCGATGGCAAAAATGACAAGCCCGGCCACTCCAGTCGTCACCTCCATGGAGAAATGCGATGATCTGTTCGACTGGGGATAATACAAATGATTGAGCCACACCTAGCGACCAGGCTTCACGATGTTTCTGGAGCAGTGGTCATGGCTTGTCACCACGCGCCAAGACTATGAAAGCCTTGAGCTGCGTTGATGTCTAATCCCTGCGAGGCACTGCGAATGAGGCCTGCAGCTGCACCACCTGCATACTCAGCCTCCATCTTTCAGCATCGCCCAGCATCGCGAGCCGCCGAGGGTTTCAATCTGTTTCGACATCAGCTTGCCGTAAATACCTGCCTATCTACACAGCGATTCTGTGAAAAGCGTGGCGTGCCTGTTTGAAAGAAAAATATGGGCTACGGTCGTGGATTTTTTCCATGTAACAGAGCGAAGCGTTGTTTGTCACCTTGTGAGATACAGGCATAGTTTTCTCGGGCCGGGTGACCCGTGGCGAAGGCAGATTTCCTCTTCGACCTATCGTCACACTCGTCCTGGTACTCGCTACCAGCTCTCCCATCAAGTCCGAATCACCCCTGGCTCTCTTTTCTTCGTTACGGCTTGCCAATATAGGCAGGTGATCGGGGACAGTTGTCCCACCGATGGGGTCCAACCATGCAGGGAAACCCCACGGCACCAAGACCCTGCTTGGTGCTCACCTCACCCCATGTAACGCGGCCAGCAAAAGCCGACTCACTCACAGTACGAGCCGAACCTGCTGCAGCTTTGTGGCAATATCGTCCAGCACGTTTGCCATGTTCGCCCGGCTATCTCCAGGGCCAAGAGATTTGATCGGGTCGACTACCATAGGGCTTAGACCAAAGTCCCTTAATGCTCGGCCTAGCCCGCGGGCCTGGGTCGACGGTTCGGCGAGCTAAACTGCGAACGGCACTCATCCCGCATCCCAATCTCCATGATCCAATCTAGGTCTCGGATGCCGCACGAATTACAGCGCTGGATGAGGCTTTTGGGACTAGTAGTTCCTCAAGGACCCGATCTCCGTTTGCCGTACCATCGCTCTGTTGAAGGATTTCGGCGGGACGACTTACGAGCATGCAGGCTGGAAAAGAGCTCAACAAGGCGGAGGGGCATTCCATGTTTCGATGATGACTAGGGCGGGGGTTCGTCTCCTGCGCGGATTCATATAAGAGACGCGAAGAAGACAAAAGCATGACTGCAGGCTACTTTAACGGCCTCAAAGGCATCCTCACCCACCTGGCAATCTCTCCTGACGCCCGACAACATGATCGGCTGTCGAACTTTTGCTGCGCTGCTGGCTCTGGCTCTCTGGATAGTGCAGATCCAGGCCAAGTCGGTTTTCGCGCATTTCATGCTGTCTAACACCGCCGGCTTTACCGTGGCAGACTATCAGCGTGAGATCGGCCTTGCCCAAGAAGCGCACATTGATGGCTTTGCCGTCAACTTCTCCATGGATGAGGACACCACCGACGCCAACCTTCCGCTCTTCTTCACTGCTGCTGAAAGTAAGGGCTTCAAGCTTTTCCTATCGTTTGACTATGCTGGCAACGGGGCGTGGCCGCAAGGCACTGTCATAACCATGATCAAGAAAGTAGGTCCAACGAACATCTTGCTCAAACTTGCACCGTCCGACTGCAGAGCTTATATTCACAACACCTTGCTTTAGTATGCCGCTTCTTCAGCCTATTTCCGCCGCGGCTCTCAGCCCCTCGTTTCCACGTTTGAGGGTCCCAAATCTTCTTCCGACTGGCCCACAATCAAGAAGGAGACCGGGTGCTTCTTCATCCCGTCCTGGTCCTCCCTAGGAGCCAAGAAGGCTGTGGCCCTCGGCGTCGCTGATGGTCTATTCAGCTGGGCCGCTTGGGCTGAAGGCCCGAACCGTAAGAACACTGAGGTCGACGCCTCCTACCTTGACTTTATGAAGGGCATGCCTTACATGATGCCGGTCGCCCCTTGGTTCTACACAAACATGCCGGGCTTTGACAAGAACTGGCTTTGGAGGGGCGACCACACCTGGTTTGATCGTTGGGCCCATATCTGGTACTTGCAACCCGAGTTTGTGCAAATCGTAAGTTATGCTTGTTGCACGGTTCTTGCCTCTCTTTTTTTTGCGTCCTCGATGCAAAGGCTAACCCATCTCTAGATCTCGTGGAACGATTATGGGGAGTCTCATTACATCGGTCCTCTGGACGAGAGGCAATACTCTGCCTTTGCTGCCAACAGAGGCAATTCGCCTTTCAACTATGTTCGGGATATGCCCCATGACGGATGGCGTGATATGCTGCCTTATGTCATCGACACATACAAGAACAACATCTCGACGGTGTCTCGTGAGACGTTGACTACTTGGTACCGGTTGAACCCAGGCTCGGCTTGCTCGAGTGGCGGAACCACAGGAAACACAGCCTCCCAGCATCAGACGGTGTACTCTCCCGCTGAACTTTCGGAGGACCGCATCTTCTATTCAGCCCTGCTGGGCTCCAACGCGGCAGCGACAATCTCCATCAGTGGCAAGGCGCAGCCCCAATGGGCCTGGGACTCCATTCCCGACGGAGGCGTCGGTATCTACCACGGCAGTGTGCCTTTCAACGGCGCCACAGGCGAGGTGGTCGTGACCCTGTCGAGGGGCGGCCTCTCAGTGAAGGGCCCTGCCATCACAACGGACTGCTCCAAGAACGCTGGCCTCAGCAACTGGAACGCCTGGGTCGGCAGTTCCAGAGGCGCAGCGGTCTCTGTGACGCCGCCGCGCTCGCTCGGTGACCAAGTTTGCGTCGCCGGCACGGGAGTGAAAGATTTCGGGGCTGCTCACGAGAATTTCGAGGGCATCTGCTCCTTTGCTTGCAACTATGGCTACTGTCCTCGCGGACCCTGTACTTGTACCAAGATGGGCCTCAAGGTGACCGAGCCCAAGTCCCTCAACATTGATGCTTGGCCTGCCGCTGGGTAAGAGGTCCGTCCATCACCACGTCCGCAGCTACATGCTAACCACTGACATACCAGAATGACTTGCACGTACGAGGGACTTTGCTCTGTAAGTCTGAATACTTCTCTCAAGCCTCTTCTTGAGCTCCAACACCATGCACCGTCGATGCGGAGACTCTTGCTGACTCACAATACTCACTACTAGTTCGCATGCAACCACAACTATTGTCCTACTGGAGTATGCACGAAAGACGCATCGCTCAAGGGCAAATGCGTCATTCCCCAGCCTATCCCGGAGCCAGCAGAGCCAGAGCCCGAGGTGCCGGTAACTCAGCAAAGATGCGTATCCGGAACTGGACAAGGAAACTTCGGGGGCCTGTGTGACTTTAGCTGTGGCCGCGGATACTGGTCAGTCGTCAAATGTCCTCGCCGTAAATCCAGTAGGCATGCTAATTTTCTGTAGCCCCTCCCCGTGCACATGCTCCACCAAGGGCCGCATGGTCCAGCCCCCTGCAAGCAAACCTCTTGGCTACCCGCTGGCGAACCTTGGATCTGAGTACATTGGTCTCTGCGCTTTTGCTTGTTCACGAGGATACTGTCCTCCGTCAGCTTGCACGCAGACTCGGCCTGCTGTCCCAGGAGGCATCTTTAAGGAGACGCCGCTTGACGATGACGGCAAGGTGAAGGACATGGCAGCTTGCAAAGCAGCCAATTCTGGCCTCCGTAAGTGACCCTTAGTTACTACGTGACGATAATATCTGACATTTGTATCACAGCGTGGAAATGCTGTAAGTGCTCACTTGGCTCCATATATGCCCCTTCATCTAGAATCAGGTTGACACTCGAACAGATAGGAAAGACTGTGGTATCGCTGGAAACATCGGCATCGACCCTTGGAAGAGGTGGGACGCAGTTATGGCACAAATGACCCTCGAAGACATGATGGCATGGTGGGAGCTAATCACCAGAATTCGCAACAACGGCAACCCCGATATCATCCCCCGGTGGTTGACCAACATGCCTGTCGCCGTCGGCTGGATGTGGGGAACCGATCATGACCCGAGCCAGGCCACAGAGTTACCAGAGGACTATTCGTGCGACAAACTCGGCAAGAGTGGTTGGTATGTGTGCACCCAATGGATGCTGTACCCTTTTTTTCGAGTGGAATCTAATATCTGCATCGTTCAGCAATGCCATCAGCTGTCAGACCCTCACGTACTCGTCCGTAGCTATGGTCGAGCTCGCCTTTGGAAACCTCAACGCATTCTACCAAAAGTATTACGATGCTGTTGTCGAAGTTGAGAACTCCATCACGAGCAACGCAAAGGACATGGCAGCCAAATTTGTGCGGCCACAGACCGGAAACTGGCTTGGCACGTTGAAAGTTATCCTGGGTTCTTTCGACACCATATTCGCATTCACAGGTGCTGGAATTTGGGAGAAGGTGAGGACTTTCACGTATTCTGTGGCATACACACACTTGAATTTCCATCTGACTCTACTCGTGAACAGGTTCTGGACACAGATCAGTTCTCCAAGTGGACGACTGCCAACGATAAAGCAACAAGCGCACGCGACAGTATAGGCAGCGCTATCAGCGCGTATGAGTTCATGGGAGGCAATGTTTCAGACTCGTGAGTACAGCACCCTCCTCACGCCTAGAGAACAACGTACATCGTCTTGGCCTAGTTACTAAGTGCACCACGTCCGAGCAGTGAGCAGGGTGCCATTGATGCGGCCGACTCGGTTCAGAAGGCAGCCGAGTTGATGGTGAAGATGCTGAAAGACAGCATTGACAACCTCATGACCTTCTTGTTCAGTGGGGATCCTGCTGGATCGGCTGCCATGATTGGCCTCCTCAACAACGGTTTATTCGTTTTGAACCCAGCGAAGGATGTGAGCCAGGGTCAGATGGGCACCGTCGTCAAGAAGGTAATCCACGCCAGGCTTGTCACCAATGCTTGGGCGGCCGATGAGTCGTGTGCCCCGGTGGTGGCCGTTGGATCGTTCGAGCCTTTTGACCCGCAGAAGACCACCAATTTCCTGGGCAGGTGGCGCAACGACGCGTACTTGAAGTACGACAACAAAGACTTGTGGGTTATTTGCGTCCCGTCTGTTAAGTCGATTGGAGGAAAGACGAGGGAGAGCAGCACCGCAGAGTATCCGTACGGCTTGCCGGACATCGGCAAGGCAGACAACGACTGGGAGATCACCTGGCAGGAGCTTGCGCGGTCTGCTTATGACGGATGGAAGGAAAACGGCGAGAAGCTGCCCTTCGGTTTGCGCAAGTCGGCAGACACGGCTACTGGAGGTCCTGACAGTCCGACTTTCCTTCCCCTTCAACAGGGCATCTCGACTCCGGGTTTCTGGCAAGTCCCTGTATGTTCTACGAAGCTCGTCCAGGACAACGTGACATGGCGGGGACAGAAGGGCAGCCGGAAGTGCACTGATATATACCCCTGTTGTCAGGTTGTTTGCACAGACCACAAGACTGCAACTGGTGGGATTCAAACAGTGTGTACTTAGGTTGAGATGGTGTGTAAGTCATTTTGCTGTCCAGAGCTTCGTCACCAGCTGTGAGTGCCAAAAACTTAGTTTATTTCATCATGCTGAGCCGATGATTGCCGTCTTGTTGGACGGATCTTGGTTCTGTCAATGGAGTAAGCCGATGGCGCACGCGAGAGCACACCTTGATCCAAGTAAAAAAGACGATGTGGTCAAATAAGGATCGAGTGAAAATAAGAGGACACTTCAGCGAAGGGTTCTGGGCTGTATCAAGTACAGGTTGATCGATTTGAACATCTCTTATCTCTTATATTGCTCTCTTAGTACACCCGCTTTGAACTTCGCCCAAGATATGTACCCCTTTCCCCTCTCTTTTGATCTCAAAGCGCCAGTTTCCGACATTGCGTTCCATCCTGCAAGACCTTTGGGTTCCTTGTTTTAGTCACAGACGTTAGACAGCGACTGGTCCTGGCCGACCCAGAAAACGCGAATGATGAGATGACCGATGGTCACGGCGCCACGTCTGACCTGCATGGAGAAGTTCTGACGCGGGGCGTGGATTCGGCGTTCTTGAACTGCCCAGTGCAGCATTTGAATTCTCTCCTCGTAGCCAATGTCATTGACGTTATGGTTGTTGTGCGCAGCCCACTCAAATTGGATCCTCATGTCGTTGGGGGCATGGTACGCAGGCGGTGTGAGGCTCGAAGGGTTGCCTTGGACGTTGTTCCAGTCTGTGAGAAGATTCTCCATAGCATTAAGGACTTGGTCATCGGCGATGTGCTCATCGGTGCCCCACGCAGTTCTGATGTTGGTGTATAGCCCGGTGTGGTCGATAGGCCAGCTCTCCTTGCTAAACCAGTTCCAGTTCCAGCGCTTTTCCACTGCAGGGAGCGCGCTGGCCTCGTCAGACGGGGTTCGAGCCTCCACCTCCTTGACCTCTTCCCGCTCAGCCAGGTTCAAGGCACTGGGGCGGCCGAACAAGCTGCGCTTTCGCTTGCCGGTAGGGTTGGGGCTGTCAGTCGCGGCAACCTTGACGAACACCTTGAAGCCACCAGCATCGCTGTAATCGTCAAGCGAGATGTATCCAGCTACCTCTCCGTTCTCTTTGTGTCTGGCATGAATGGCCCTTGCCGCCGTCCAGGCCGCGGCGTAGTCGATGTTTCTGCGGACATCCGACGAGTCGCACATGGAAACTTCGCACCCGCCCGAGACGGCCAAAGAAACGCAACCAAAGGAAGCCTCTGGGACCGCCTGACCAAAGTGTTCTTCAAGTTTGTTGGTGGCCTCTGAGCAGTCCTTGGTTGTGGCGCGCCACTTGTCAAAGCCCTGGTAGCCATTCGGGATTCCCATAGAATTGCAGTTGACAGTCTGAGCCGCAGCCAAGTGAGCAGCGCCGAGGCCGAGAAGAGCGGCCGAAAGGAAGAAAGGCATTGTGGTTATTGAAGCGCCACGAATGCGGATCCCGGACAAGAGTTGTTGAAGGTCGCAAAGTAGCTGCTGTGAGGATAGCCGAGTGAGATGGAGAAAGCCAGGAGCTGAAATTGATGCTGTTTAGGAGGAGTGAATGATGATGTTGATGATATCCAAAGAGATTGACTTGAAAACTCGTTGGGCATCTGTCTTTTATGTCAAATTGGGTGCAGTCAAGCAAGCTCACTATACCGTGAACTTCGGGTTGTCGTGGATGTTCGGGCAGGATCATGATGCCGAAGACTATCTCGAACCACGCTGACATGCTATTTGCAGACTGATTACGCTGGCAATCAACCCATGCCGCGTCTGAATGCATGAACAGCGGACCATCGCAACTAGCTCACCAAGCCTCCATCGATCACTTGGGAAATTGTCCGACTGTGGTGGTAAGAGACCCAAAATCCTCAATGTCAGGATGCCGGCAGTCGAACGGGTGGCTAAAAATAGGGAGCCTGTAGCAGGGTTCAAGCCAAGGGAGGATTTAGAATGCAACTCGGACGCGGCTAGGGCTCTTAGAACATGCGAGCCAGACCCGTAAATAGTGTTCTTGGCGGGTGTGGCTTGGACTTCAATCCTTTCCCCCACACTCGTGGGATTACCAGGGATGGTAGCCCCTTGTCAGTAGCAACAACCACCCATCACTGCCAGGGTCAAACGGGGGAGATAGTAATCCATCAATGTCTTGAAATTGTCGCGCGTTTGTAAGCCCAAGGGCCTTGTAGATCACCCGGGAAAAGGGGCTGGAAGGAGTGTCGAAATTCACCTCATATCTGAGTTGGTGCTCGGTTTCTCCCTACTGAGTCGTGCAAGAAAGCCCGAAGCCCAGCGGCAAGCATCTCAGCATATTATGCTCTCATGATGCCACACAGAAAAGTCAAAGAAGGAGGATTCAATCTATGTTCCTACGGTTGGTGCCCAAGAAGCCTCGGCAACCCGATCTGGAGACTGTCGGCTCAGTTATTCTGGACAAGTGCCGGGGAAGCACCTCTACGGGGACCAGAACTGACGCGAGGGCTGATATCCAGAAGCAGCTTTATGGCTTTCTTAATCAATAACCGTGTTTCCAATGAGAGGCGAGGAAGCTAGAGGATCGATGCATCGTCATTTCAAGCATTGTATAATGCCAAAATAAAGGTCACTGATAAGGTGTGAGGTCAAATTTCCTCCTGGAGAGAGCAGGCAGTCCTTGGTTTAAATATTCGTATTCGTTCCCGTTGCAAATACAACGATAAAGAGCATTGACTTTACCGCCACTCCTCTGGGGCCAACGTAGACGATGGTTGAGTATTTCTAACTTTCTGAACCCGTCCAAAAGACCTAGTTGCAAACGCACACACTACTTTGATGTTAACCTCCATCATGTAATTTAATGTGCCTTGACTTACGCGTTTTCATTGCAGTGTCCACCGTGGATGTTGCCGTGCTGAACAAAACACTAGTCCGATTGTAAGCAAAGGATATCCAAGGTTGACCTCGCCGTGAGAGCGTGAGCGGGTGGTTCCCTTAGACTTACAGAAGCGCTACAGGCTGCATTTCCCGCATTGGCAGGCCCAATGCTGCCCAATTGGCAGGTAGTCTTCATCATTGAAGGTAGAGAGAAGCCGAAGCTGACGAAGAGAGCCAGGCCTGTTGCAGAAATGAGCTTCATGATTGATGGTGTCAAGAGGGTCTGGGATTTGATTGCGCAATTGTTTCAGTAAGCCTAGATTGGTGCTTGCGGAGCGCCTTTATATACCTGTGCCGAGAGAATCCTAGAGGCAGCTCGATGTGCATGTGAGCTCACGCGTTATTTCGAATAATGAAACCTGGGGTTGGTGAAGGTGCTACAATGTGGTCATGTGTAAACAAATAGGCTACAATTGGAAATGATCTTTCCAAGGTTTACTCCCAAATACCTACGTGCCGCAAGACATTCCATACAGACGAGCATTGGGTCCAGTCCGGGTAAGATGAGACAGGCAGGGTGTAGGTATGATTGAGACATGGGGATGAATATGCCGCGCATGGATCACGGCGTCCACTACGCAGGAATTCATGATCATCACGGATCTCCGCATGTGAATGAGTACTGTGGAATCTTTCTCGGCACGTCGAAGCGTTTTCAGCTGAGTTCACCTGGCCCACGTAAAGCTTGTCCAGGAATCGGAATGCATCTGCTCATAGGGGTTTTGGCTGCATCATGGCACATCAAGAAGACTGGCAGCCCTATTGGAGCTTGAAACCTCGTCTCAGTCGGGCTATGATGGGGCGCCACGCAGCTAGTATCCCTGCCATCAATGACGGTAGTGATGTAGTGTTCAGTTAGCGAGCGAAATTTTCGCCTTCTTTAGCATAGATAGATGTAGTGTGGGCTCGCTTGTCCTTCAGGTCAGGTTGTGGGATAAGTTTGTGCCTCCCATCCCCTGGTGCAAGGACAGGCCAAGGCAGGGTGGATTCCCCGCGGCAATGGCATGGCAGCCCACTTGTGAACATAGCATTAGCTGAACCTCTCGAATCTATACTATCGGTGGTTCCAGAACCCGCCCGCAACCCCTCGTATACCTGGTAGCTCATAGTCAGCATGGCTATGATTCCTAGGGTGCTGCTGTGCGCGGCATGCGGCGTGCTCCAGGTCTGCTGTGGACTCCGCGACTTTTGACCGCTATCGCAGCTTGAGGTAGCCTTGGAAAAGCGCAAGCCGTTGTCTTCCTCTGGTTGGCGACCATTGTTCCTATAGTATGCTCGCTTACATCAGTACCTTGGTAAACGCGTCGCCCAGCCCTCTTTCCACCAGCCACTCCTCAATGGCTTTCATGTCACCTCGATTCGCGCGTTGCCCCCTCCTTTGCCCTACGGTATCTGTAATCTCCTGCATGTCTGCAAACACTCTGGTCGTGAGACCCTTCTCACGATGACGTTCGCTGACTTTTTTGTGATGTGCCGGAATGTCGCCCCAGCTCTCCGTCTTGATGAATTTCATGTAGTCGTCGATGTACTGCGAGGGGCCTTCAACACACAGAAGGCCAGGTTTTCCGGCGTACAAGAACCCCGTCAGGTTGTAGTGCGGCGCGTTGATGATGAAGTCATCGCGCTTGGAGCGTGTCGAGATGGAGGGAAAGTAGAACCAGACTCGAACTAAAGGTCCGCCTCCGTTCGCAGCAGCAGCAGCAGCATCTGATGTGGTGTCGACGCGAGCTTCTCGAGATTCCTTGAGCTTTTGGGCCGCCGCCTCTTGAATGGCTTCGACTGTACTGAAGAGGTCTTCTTCGACCTCGGAGTGCTGGGCGTTGAGGTGGGCTGTTTCTGCCTTGCTGAGCCAGTCCGGCTGCTGGATCCGGACTCGTATCCTTGGTGCTTCGTCCGGCGCATGACTTCCTTAATAGGCGAATGGTGCGTTGATGTCGAGCTGCAGCGACTTGTGGATGTCTGGATCTTGAGGATCCGGGATTGCCAATGTGAGCAGGAGAGCCACAGCAGGCAACGCGCTGAAGGTCGGTACTGAGCCATCCTCAATGCTGGTCTTCAGAGCGCTCAGAATATATTCCGACTCATCTCGGATCGTCAACTCTTCTTCTGTGGGGAACATGGCCATCAAAAGGTCGACCTGGCCAATCTGGTGCTCAACGAGGTCGCACGGCAGCAAAGTCCAATTCCTATCGGACGACATGTTGGCGATGTGTTGACCTCATCTGATGATCCGAGCCAAGGTAGTCAGCGACAAGCAGTTATTTTGGCGTTGCTCTATGGCGGCACTTCCTTTTTGCTTGGTCCTCAAAACCCGCAAAAACACCATGGTCTGCCGATGTCGCCTGTACATGTAGAAGGCCACACCATGGGTGGGCTTAGTCATCATTCACTTTGGCTTGGTGTTCACGACACCCATACAAGGTGACGCCGCCTATTCCATCGCCCTAGTTCAGACAATGGTGAAGAGCCTTTCGATCCCATGCCTCTGTCAGAGCAAAGGTTTTCTGACAAGGTGAATTATCAAAGCGATGACGAGGCGGGTACCGCCGTGGGTGGCCATGGCTGATTGATAACGCAGAGGTACACCAATCAGACGGCAGTCGCATCATGTCGCGGGGTCATGGTAGGGGTGCGGCTGGAGGGGCAAATGCCGCTGAAGTCACAGCCGTCGCGCCGACACTGCCGCGCCTTGCCATTCAATTTACCGAAGAGGCATTTCAAACGCGATGCTCGTTTTAGTGTGATTTTCAAAAAAGAATCGAAAAATCATCGAATCCTGTTAAGAGACTCGAATATTGTTTGTTGGTTTGGTTTGCGAGCGTCACCATACTCTCACCAAGCACCGCACTTCACAACGCCTCGCGGAATGCTTTCAAATCCCATCAACCTGCCCAAGTGGTGAGTCAAGGCCAGCGCGCCATGTTGCGATTCGGACAACCTTGTAACTGCCACCCAGGCTCGAAGAGAACTCTCACCTGCTGAAGCCCCCCATCAACAACTACTGCGTCTACAACGACGACTTCACCGTCATGGTACGTTCGCCGGGCTTCCTCGTCCCCCTCGCCTTCTCAGGCATTCGTGTGAGCGCTCATCTTTCTAACACGGCCGCCAGATCGTCGGCGGCCCCAACGCCCGCACCGACTACCACATCAACACGACGCCCGAGTGGTTCTACCAGTACAAGGGCGCCATGACCCTCAAGGTCGTCGATCCGGCCGACGGCGCCTTCAAGGACATCGTCATCCGCGAGGGCGACATGTTCCTGCTGCCCGCCAACACGCCGCACAACCCCGTCCGCTTCGCCGACACGGTCGGCGTCGTGCTCGAGCAGCGCCGGCCGCCGGGGCGCCTCGACCGCATGCGCTGGTACTGCGACGGCTGCCGGGCCGTCGTGCACGAGGCGGCCTTCCACTGCACGGACCTGGGCACGCAGATCAAGGCGGCCGTCAACGAGTTCAAGGCGAGCGAGGAGAAGAGGAGATGCGGCGCGTGCGGGACCATGGCTGAGGCGGCGCCGCGGCCGGGGAGCATTCGGGACCCGAACCTGGAGTAAGGGTGACACGTACGACTTGGGGCC